GCTCGAGGACTCGCGGCATGCTGCGCACGGTGCTTGCCGCTAGCGTCTTAACGAGCGCGTCGTCGCTCGTCGCGCCGCTTCGACGCGCGCCGCGACCGACCGCGCTCGGCGCCACGCAGCTCGAGGCCTTCCTCGAGGGCCGGCCCGGCGCGGCGCGGTTCTACGAGTGCGTCGGCGAGGGCTGCCTCACGAGCCGCCCCGTCGACGAGCCGGAGAAGCTCACGGAGGGCGAGCAGAAGACGATGTCCGAGGTCGTCGACTATTTGCACGCGGAGCTGATGAAGCTGAGCCCCATGGCGGACTACGTCCCCGAGGAGGACGACATCGGCGACACCATGGACGACTTCATCGAGGAGGGCCGCAAGATGCTCAGCATCTCCCAGTCGACGGTCGTCCGCGGCGCGGACGACGAGGCCGTCGCCGACGGCGTCTGGGACGCGCTCGGCCACCTCTTCTCCGAGGAGCAGCCGAACACGGGCCTGCTCGTGGCGCTGCCGGAGTACGCGGGCGACGCGACCATCTTCGTCCGCGACGAGGTCGTCAAGCCGTTGGAGCTCATGGGCTTCGGCGACCGCGTGGAGACGTCGTCCTACCGCGTCTCCTCGGGCGCGCCCTGCCCGGCGTTCCGCGTCCTCGTCTCGCCGAGCGAGGTGCCCAGCGACGGCATGCCCAGCGAGAACGACCCCATGTCCCTCTTCGGCAACTGAGTCGCGCATAACACAACTGAGTCTAAGTCTGAGTCTGGAGGCTTGTCTTCAATGAGTCACTGAGTCAGGGAGGTTGACGTAAAGTGAGGCAAAGTAAACATGCACATCATCATCGGCTCCGTCGAGTTTCGGACGATTATGCGGCATTGAGCAGCCCGCTCTGCGCAATTGCCGAGCGCTGCCACTAGCGCCGCGCAATTGCCCCACGCCACCCCTTGGCGGTCAATTTCCCGGCGCATCAGTGCCCGGAAATTGCGACCTCCACCGGATCTCTCCGATGGGGCAGCCCCAATCCCAACGCAAGGACCACACCGGATCCCCCCCGCAAGAGCCCCAATCCCAACGCAAGGACCACACCGGATCCCCCCCGCAAGAGCCCAGCTCACCGCCAGCCCAGCCCGAAGCAACATCACCAGCGACGCCATGCCCGCTCGCTTGCTCGCGCTCCTCGCCGTGGCGCTCGCCGCCGCCGAAGAAGACTGCGCGGCGCACCGCGCCGAACTGCGGTCCCTCGTGGGCGCGGGAGCCCACGGCGCCGCCGTCGCCGCCGCCCGCGCCCACGGCGGCAAATGCACGACGCCGCTCGACGCCGCGCCCGCTCGCGTCCTCACGTCCGTCGCGTTCTTCGGGCGCGAGGGCCGGCCGGCGGCCGGCGCGCGCGGCGTCGTCGGCCACGAGGCCGTGCTCGCCGGCGGCGCGCGGCGCCGCGTGCTCGGCCTCGAGGCGCGCCACCGCGGCGACCTGCTCCTGACGGGCTACGCGGTCGGCGGCGACGTCGTCGTCTCCGCCGTCGCCGAGCCGTCGCCGCCGTCGCGCGACTCGGCGCCGGGCGGGCTCCGCGGGGCGCGGCGCCTGGCCCCCTGCGGCGACCACCGCGCGCCGCCCGAGCTCGTCGAGCGCGGCGAGACCTGCGCCGCCGGCGCCGACGCGGACCGCTGCGCGAGCGACGCGTGGACGCTCAACGGCTACTGCCGGCTGAGCTGCGGCCGCTGCGACGCGTCGGCCCGCGCGGAGCTCAAGGCCCAGCCGGGCGTGCCCCTCGCGCTCGCGACGAACGACCGCGTCGTCGGCGCGAAGCGCACGCTCATCGTGCCCATCTGCTACTCGGACGACGGCGACGACTGCGGCGACCACGGCGCGAACGCGTTCGCGGCGCAGCTCGACGCCGTGGCCGCCGCCATGGCCGCGCACTACGCCGCGGCGTCCTTCGGGCGGCTCGCGATGGTCGTCGACGTCGCGCCCGTGACCCGCGCCTACGACTTCCCCCGGGCGACGTGCGCCGACTACGGCGCCCTGGGCCTCTGGGCGTCGACGGGGAGCCCCCAGCCCGACGCGAACCTGCCGACGCAGGCCGCGTCGCGCCTCGAAGCCGAGGGCGCCGTCGACGCCTGGGCCTACGACTTCGTCGTCGCGTGGTACCCCGACATCTGCTGGGGCTGGGCGGGCGTCGCGTACCTGCCGGGCACGGACGCGGCGGTCAGCGGCTTCGGCGACCTCGACTGGGACCTGCTCGTCGGCATGCACGAGCAGGGCCACAACTTCGGCCTGGGCCACGCGTCGACGGTGGAGGACGGGAGCCGCGGCGGCGCGCCCTACGCCGACGGGGCCGCGTGGAGCGAGTACGGCAGCCCCTACGACCCCATGGGCAACGGGATGGCGTGGGGCCTCGGCGACGCGTTTACGGTGTCGGGCCGCCTGCTCATGGACTGGGCGCCCGCGGACCGCGTCCCCGTCGCGAACCCCGCGCTCTGCGGCGACGCGGGCTGCGCGTTCGCCCTCGCGGCCGCCGACGACGCGTCCGCCCTCGACGGCGACCGCCCCGTGGGCGTCCGCGTCGCGACGGACGTCGCCGACACCTACTTCTTCGTCGAGTACCGCGCCGCGCGCGCCGCGTGCGTCGTCTCCGTCGGCGAGGTCGTCGTCGGCCGCTCGTGGATGCCCAACACGATCCTCACGGACGCTGCGCGGGACGACGCGTCGGCGTGGCACCTCCTCGAGGCCGGCGCGACGGTCGTCGTCGACGCGGCGGCGGCGGGCGCCGACGCGAAGCCCGTCTCCGTGGCGCTCGCGCTCGTCGGCGGCGCGCCCGTCGTCACCGTCTCCACGGACGACGCGCCCGCGACGGCCGCGCCGTCGGCGCGCGCCTGCGCGACGCTCGCCTACGCGAACCAGGGCTGCGGCGCCCAGGGCGCGAACCTCGGCACGACCTTCGCGGACGCGAACGAGTGCGCGCTCGCGGCGCGCGACGTCTCGGCCTGCGGAAACTACGTCATGTGGTCGGTGGAATACAACGCGCACTGGGGCTGCCGCTGCTGCGCGCCCGGCGGCGAGCTCGGCGGCGGCGCGAACGATTTGTGGGACGTCTTCGCGTACGAGTGCGACCCGGACGACGACGGCGGCGCCCCGCCCGCGCCCGCGCCAACGGCCAAGCCCGCGCCCGCGCCTACTGCCAAGCCCGCGCCCGCGCCGACGGCCCCGCCCGCGCCCGCGCCGACGGCCAAGCCCGTGGCGAGCTCGCCCACGGCGAAGCCCGTGAGCTCGCCGACGGCCGCGGAGCCCCCGAAAGACGTGTTCCTCTACAGCAACAAGAACATGGGCGTCTACTTCCTCCGCTGGCGCGCCGGCGCGGCCGCGCAGCCGTTCTCGATCCAGTACCAGGTCAAGGGCACCGAGGACTGGATCGACGACGGCGTCCGCGTCGTCGAGCCCGAGTACGACGGCACCTTCTACGACATCCTCGCGCCGCAGCACGTCCCTGCGACACCAAGGCCAAGGTGCGCGTCGGATACGCCGGCGTCTACGTCGAGGCGCAGAAGGAAAAGAAGCTCAAGTGCTAGGCGCCGCCCCCCGCGCCCGTCGACGCTCTGCCCCCTGCCCCGCGAGGCTGGGACTACGCGGTCGCCGATTCCCCCACCCCCCCGAAGGGCAACATCTACCTAATAAGGTTTGGTTGCAGCCCATTTGTAGCAGGCACCGGCCGTCGCGCGCCATACTGCGGGCAGCCTGCGGACCCGCCTGCGTCGAGCGGCGCGCGGACCGCTGCCAGCACCGCCGCGCGTCGTCGCGCCGGCGCGACGAACCGGTCGCAGACATGAGCGGCGAGAATGGCGCCGTCGAGACGTCGATCCTCGCGGACAAGCGCGCCGCCGGCGCCGCCGCGCCCGCGCTGCCGCCGCCGCGACGCCAAAAAAACTCCGTAGGTACGAGCTCATCAAGCCCATCGGCAAGGGCAAGTTCGCCGTCGTCTACCGCGCGCGGCGCATCGCCGACGACGAGCTCGTGGCGCTGAAAAAGATCGCCGTCGACAGCATGGACCACCGCGCGCGGGAAAAGTGCCTGAAGGAGGTGCGGCTGCTCCAGTCGCTGCACCACCCGAACATCATCCGCTACCTCGACAGCCTCATCGAGGGCGACGAGCTCGTCATCGTCTTCGAGTGGGCCGCCGCGGGCGACCTGAAGCGGCAGATCCGCAAGGCCGTCGAGCGGAAGCAGGGCTTCGAGGAGCGCGTCATCTGGAAGTACTTCAGCCAGATCTGCGACGCGCTGGCCCACATGCACGAGCAGCGCATCCTCCACCGCGACCTCAAGCCCGCGAACGTCTTCCTCACGCTCAACGGCACCGTCAAGGTCGGCGACCTCGGCCTCGGCCGCATGATGAGCGAGCACACCTTCGAGGCCCACAGCAAGGTCGGCACGCCCCTCTACATGTCGCCGGAGGTGCTCCGGGGCGACGGCTACGACTGGAAGTCCGACGTCTGGAGCCTGGGCTGCGTGCTCTACGAGCTCGCGATGCTCCGGTCCCCCTTCAAGGCCGAGGGCCTGAACCTCTACTCCCTCTTCCAGAAGATCTCCAAGGCGGACTACGAGCCCCTGCCGGACACGTACAGCGCGCCCCTCCGGGACCTCGCGACGGCCATGCTCTCCGTGGACCCCGCGGAGCGGCCCGACGTCGCCTACGTCTGCGACGTGGCGACGCGCATGCGCAAGGAGACCATGTCCGCGGCGGCGGCGGCGCGCGCCGAGGCCCAGCGCGCCGCGCCGAGCGAGGCCAAGGGCGAGGACCGGGGCGACGACGCGAAGACGACGGCCGTCGTCGCGCCGGCGGCCTTCGCGGACGCGAAGCGGCCCCAGGCGGCGCCCGAGGACGCGCGGCGCGACGTGCTCGAGGCGCCGCGGGCGCCGCCGAAGCGGGACCCGGCCGTGGGCGCGCGCGTCGAGCGGAGCCGCGCGGGCGCGGCCGCGCCGGCCGGCGCCGCGCCGCGCGACCTCGGCACGCGCGACGACGACGACGACGCGAAGATCGAGCAGCAGCGCCAGCGGCGCGACGTCGGCGCCCGGGGGCCGCCGGTCCACGAGCTCCTGGCGGCGTCGGAGAACGCCGTCGAGAAGCTCGCGGTCTTGGGGTACCGCGCGGAGCGGCGCCGACGGCGCGAGCCGCCGCTGCTCCCGACGCACTTCGCCCTCGACGGCGCGGGCGCGCGGAGCCTGTCGCGGGCGGCCCAGTTCGCCGACTTTCTGGGCGCCGCGCGGTTCCTCCTCAAGCTCGTCGGCGGCGCGCGGCGCGGCGGCGACGACTTCTGCGAGGAGTCGCCGCAGGTTTTAGCGACGGCGCTCCTCCGGGACCTCGTGGACGCGGGCTACCCGGCGGAGCGCGCGGCGCAATGCAAGCCCCCGGACCTCGCGCGGGGCTTCGGGCCGGGCGTCCTCGACTGCCTCCGGTGGCTCGGAGACGCGGCGCTGTCCGCGGCGACGCTCGCGCCGCCGGACTACGGCGCGCTGGAGACGCTCCCCGACGAGGGCGGCGACGGCGGCGAGGTCGACGACGACGACATCGCCGAGGACATCGCCGACGCGGGCGACGCGGACGTCGTCGCCGACGACGCGGCCTACGGCGCGATCGCCGCGGAGCCGTCGGCCTTCGCCGAGGCGTCCTGGGGCGCGGCGAGCGACGAGCCCCACGGCCGCGGCGTCCTCGCCGCGCGCGTCGACGCCGACGTCTGGGCCCTCGAGCTCGAGCGCGTCGGGCCCGCGCTCGCCGCGCGCGGGAAATCCGCCGCGGACGCGTCGACGTGGTCCGGGCGCCTCGACGTGGCCAAGGCGTCCCTGGCGAAGCGGGACACCCACGCGCCGGCGGCCCTGGACGCGGCCGCGCGCGTCGGCGCGGCCGCGCGCGACGCCGCGGACCGCCTCGGCCGGGGCGAGGCGACGATCGCGCGGTCCTTCGCCGACGCCGCGGAGGCCTACGCGCGCGACGCCGGGAGCCTCGCGGCCCTGAGCGAGCGCTGCGCGGGGCTGGGCACCGCGCTCGCGGAGAAGCAGGCCGCCTTCGACGACGCGGACGCGTCCGCGCGCGCGTCCGCGCGGTCGGTCGAGGAGCGCGGCGCGTCGCTCGGCGACTCGACGAAGCTCCGCGACCTGCGCCAGGCGCTCCAGGACCTCCGCAAGGAGGCCGCGGACCTCGCGCGTTTCGCGGCGTTCTTTCTTTGCGTTTTTGTTTTTGGTTCGACGCGCGCGGCCCCGCGCAGGAGGTCGGCATCGGCATCGCCCTCCAGCAGAACGCCCAGAACTGGCGGCAGAAGAACGCGCTCGCCGCCAAGGACGACGACGACGACGGCTTCGAGGTCGACTCGCTCCTCACGGACTCCGTGTCGTAGGGTCCGTTCTAGGGAGTGGCAACTCGTATTCCGGACCTGTTTCTGTTGTTATCGTGATTTTGAAAGTGGGCTTTCGTGTTCGGGTGCGGTCGGGGATCGGGGAGGCGCCACCCCCGCCTGGCCGGGGGCCCTTTGCAATTTCGCTTGGTTCATGTGAACCAGTCGAAACTTGGCTTGAGCACTTGATCTTGCCGACGAAGACGACCCCCGACGGCCCCGGGCGACGCCCCCCGACGACGACCGACGCCCTGTCACGCTCGAATATGGCGGTGGCGGAAGTCACCCTGGGCCTGGCCCAGATGATTGCGAATATCAAGCAAGAGTGCGACCTCGATCCGGCGGGAAATGCGCCGGATACGCTCAAGGCGGCGGCTACGTTTCTCGGGATGTCCCCGTCGGGGACCCCTAAGGACCAAGCCTTCGCGATCTGCAAAAAGTTGACCCTGACGCTCGCTCCTGAACCCGTCGCGCCGCGCGCCGCGTCGACGGCCGACGCGCCGGAGCCGCCGCGCCAAGATCCCGCGCGCGTCGCGGACGCGCCGCCGCCGGCGGAAGAGGTGCCGCCGCGCGTCGAGACGCCCGAGGCCGCGCCAGCCTTCGAGCCCGAAGAGGATCCGCTGCCGCCGCAGTCGCCCGCTGGTGTCCCGGAGTCGGAGACGACGGAGTCGGAGACGGAGACGGCTTTGGACGCGCCCGCGGACCGCGCGGCGGCGTCGCCCGGCAACATGCGCGTCGTCCAGGGCGAGTCTGAGGAGGACCGGCGGGCGCTCGTGGGAAAGCGAGTCAAGATTCAGTGCCAATGGTCGCCTCACAATCGGAAAGAAGGGACGGTAATCAAGTATTACGGGATGGTGCCTCAGAAGGCAGGATACCGTGGTGGGCGCCAGGAGAAATATCGATTTGATGTCCGGCTCAACAACGGGCACGTGATTGAGCGGGCCGCGCGCGGGACCTTGCGCGTCGCGGCCGCGCCGCTGCTTCTGATGCCCACGCCGACGGTCGAGGCCGCGCCGGCCGCGCCCGCGGCCGCGACGGAGACGGACGAGGAGGAGTCTGCTGTTCTCGACGTCGGCGCGCGCATCTGCCTCAAGGGCTATTCGGGCGCGGACAAAGATCTGAACGGTGAAGAGGGAAAAGTGGTGAAGTACCACGGATTCGTTCGCGCGCCAGGAAAAGATTACCGCCAGTACCGTGCCGCGCATCGCTACGACGTCTCTCTCGACTCGGGAAAGGAGCTCCGACTCGTGAGCCTCGGCCGACTGAAAGAACTCGACGACGACGACGACGACGAGGAGGAGTCCGAAGATGCGCGTCCCGCTGTGGTGACACGAACTCGTAGCCAGTACCGCGGCGTGTACGCGAGCAAAAAGATGGACCGCGCGGTCGTGCCGTGGCGCGCGCAAATTACGGTCGCCGGCGAAAATGAGATCCTTGGTTACTTTGCCGACGAGCGCACCGCGGCGCGGGCCTTCGACGCGCGCGCGAAAGAGCTGGGCCGCCACGCGAGCTGCAACTTCCAGGAAGAGGAGGACGAGGACGACGCGGCGAGCACGGTGGCGCAGCGGAGCGAGCGCGCGGCCGACGACGACGACGCGGCGAGCACGGTGGCGCAGCGGAGCGAGCGCGCGGCCGAGGAGGAGGAGGACGTCGCCGCGCCGACCGTCGCCGAATCGAACCCGCCGCTGACGACGGAGGAGTGGCAGGACGACCCCGAGTTCGTCAAGTTCATCACGGACCGCGACCTGCCCTTCGTCCAGGACCTCTGGAGCTGCCCGCCCGCGAACAGCGTGCGCGAATTCTTCGTGCTCGGCGGCGGCGAGGACGAGCTCGCGCGCGCGCTCGGCGACGGCGACTGCGAAATTGAGTGGGGCGAATTGCTTCGCGCCTGGCGCGAGTACGACAAGCCTCCGGCGTCTTGCTTCACTCCCGAGAAGCGCGCGCGCGACGACGACCGCGAGGCCGACGGCCCCGCGCGCAAGAAGCCCGCGCACGCGCTCTTCGACTAGGCGCCGCGCGCCTACACCGAGCCAGCGCCTAGGCGCCCCGCGCATCCCCTGTCTCTGTTCATAATACCGCCCGCATCCCTCTGGACAAGTCAACACAACCCCCCGCTCGAGGAAGGTCTCCGAGAGGTCGCCCAAGTCAAAAACCCTGTGGACATTTTTGGCGCGCACAGCTACCGGGGAGGACGCCTCGCGCCCGACGCTCACCCGCAAAACCTCAAATGGCGACCGCCGCGACGCCTCGGAACACGCGCCCGAAGCGGGAGCGTTCGTCGTCCGCCGTCGACGACGGCGCGACAAAAGCCACGGTCGAGCTCCTCGTGAACGTCGGCGATCGCGTGCAGATGCGCGGGCTCCGGGCGCCGCACAACGCGCACAACGACGAATGCGGCACGGTCGAGAAGACCAAGTACTGCAAGGCCGAGAGCGGCGCGGCGGCGAGCTACTGCCAGCGCGTCGACGTGCGGCTCGACTCGGGGAAGATTCTTCGCCGGATCGCCGAAGTCCTCGCGAAGCCCGTCGCGAAGGAGAAGCCCGACGCGCTCGAAGCGCCGCCGCCGACGGTCGCGAAGAAGCCCGCGGCGAAGAAGAAGAAGGCGCCCGCGGCGGGCACGCCGGGCCGGTCCGCGGCGGCGGCGGCGCCCGAGCGGCCGCGCCGCGGCCGCTCGCCGGCCGCGCCGGCGCCCGCGGCCGCGCCGGCCGCGACGGGCGTCGCCGTCGGCGCGCGCGTGACGCTCGCGAACCTCCGCGGCGACCTCGCGGCGCACAACGGCGCGGTCGGCGTCGTCGTGAAGAACGCGTACATGCGCGACGACAAGGGCACCGCCGGGTCGCACCGCCAGCGCGTCGACGTGCGCCTGCCGTCGGGCCGCGTGCTCAAGCGCATCGCCGAGACGCTCGCGAAGCCCGTCGCGACGGGCGCGGTCGCCGCGGCCGCCGCGGCCGCGAGGCGCGCGAAGCCGCGCGCGCCGCGCGCGCCGCAGAAGCGCGAGGCCCCCGGCGACGACGCCTTCGACGAAGCGACGCTGGCGCCGTCCGAGGCGTCGCTGAGCGACGAGCCCCGCATCGAGCCGCGCGCGAAGAAGCAGGCGCGGCTCGCGACGGTGACGCCCGATCTGCCGATCGCGGTCCCGACGGCCGCGGCGGCGCCGGAGCCGGCCGTCGTCCCGCCGGCGCCGGCGCCGCTGGTCGCCGTCCCGCCGGCGCCCGTGGTCCCGCCGGCCGCGGCGGCGCCGGCGCCCGTGGTCCCGTCGGCCGTCGAACCGCCGGCGCCGGCGCCGCCGGTCGCCGCGCCGCCGCCGGCCCTCGAGCCGGAGCCCGTCGCCTGGCCCTGGCCGCCGCGGCCCGCGCCGTCCGCGCAGCCGCCGCCGGCCTACGAGTCCGACGCGGACACCGTCGCCCAGGACTGCACGGCGTTCCTCCGTGGCACGGCGAGCACGATCTTCGCCGCGGGCCGCGTCAAGGCCGAGCCGTCCGGCGGCCCGAGCCGCGCGCCGTCCCGCGTGAAGCGGGCGCGCCGCGCCGCCGCCCCGGGCCTCCCGCCGGACGCCGACGCGCCCTGGCAGGCGAGCGACGCCTACGGGCGCGCCTAAGCACCCCCTTTTACGCCAGCGCGGCGATCGCGGCCGCGTCGTGCTTCGGCGTCGCGCCCGGCCGCGTCGCGACCCAGGACCCGAGGCGCGTCGCGGCGGCGAGCGCCTCCTCCGGCGCCTCGCCGCGCAGGAGGCCGACGACGAGCCGCGCGCAGAACGAGTCGCCGCTGCCGACCGTGTCCGCGACGTCCACGGCGACGCCGGGCGCGGCGACGACGCCGCCCTTCGTCGCGAGCGCCGCGCCGCGCTCCGCGCGCGTCACCACGAGGTGCTCGGCCTGCAGCCGGTCGTGCAAGAGCAGCAATTTGTCGTCCGGCGGCGCGCCCTGGCCGACGCCGAGCCACGCGGAGACCTCCTCCAACTCGTCCTCGTTCATCTTCAGCACCCAGCAGTTCTCCAACAGCGGCTCGACGACGTCGCGCGGGGACACGCCGTCGGGCATGGGCCGCAGGTTCACGTCGAAGACGCGCTTCGGCGCCGCCTCGGCGCAGGCCCGGATCGTCGCCGCCGTCTTCTCGCCGCGGAGCGCGAGCGAGCCGTGCACGACGCAGTCGGCCGAGCGCGCGACGGAGACCACCAAATCCGTCGCGAGGACCTCGTCCCAGGCCGAGGGGCTGTCGATGGTGTAGGTCGCGTCGCCCGCGGCGTCGACGACGCAGGACACGAAGCCCGTCTCGAGGCCCCCGGCCGTCTGCACGAGCGACGCGTCGACGCCCGCGGCCTCCAGGCGCCGCGTCGCGTCGCGGCCCAAAGCGTCGTCGCCGACGGCCGAGGCGTAGACGGAGTGGGCGCCGAGCTGCGCGGCGTGCACGGCGACGTTGAGCGGCGCGCCGCCGAGGAAGACGCCGTTGGGCAGGCTGTCGTAGAGCGTCTCGCCGATGCTCAGGATGGAAGGCGGCGGCGCAGTCGGCGGCGCGAGCGCTTGGGCGCGGGTGAGCACGGCGAATGCGAGCAGCGTTCGCAGCGACTTAGGCGTCATCTTTGCGGGCTGGCGGGCGCGATCTTGGACACACATGCGATCTTGGACACACATGCGATCACACATGCGATCTTGGCCACACATGCCGGTCGAGAGCTTCAACCAGAGATCAAGCAAGCATCAAGAACTCGCTAAATATTGCTGCCACAAATATGGCCATGAACGGGCGTGGGCTCCTCCTCTGCGCGCTGCTGAGGCATGCCTTCTGCGCAATGGAGCTCGTCGGCGACGAAGCAAAGTGGGACGCCATCTTCGCGTCGCGCGAGGCGGAGCTCGTGGCCTCGGGCTTCCAGTGGCCCGAGGGCCCGCGGTGGACCAAGAGCAAGGGCTTGCTCTTCAGCGACACGATCTCCGGCAAGATGTACCGCTGGGACGAAGCCACGAAGAGCGCCGTCGTCTTCCTCGACGACGCCGGCGGCTGCCCGAAGGCGAACCTCGTCGAGGGCTACGAGTGCGCGGCGGGCCAGGCCGAGCCGGGCCCCAACGGGCTCTCGAGGGAGTACCCGTACGTCAAGAAGCGCAAGCCGAGCCACAACATCGCCGTCTGCCAGCACGGCGCGCGGCGCCTCGCCCAGATGGACCTGAATTCCCGGGAGATGACGGAGCTCGTCGCCTACGTCGACGGCAAGCGGCTCAACGGTCCCAACGACGTCGCGCGCGTCGGCGCGCACGACTTCATCTTCACGGACCCCTACTATGCTCTCTTAGAACAGGACCGCTTCTACGACCACGTCTACACGGAGGAGAAGTCGGAGCTGGGCTTCGCCGGCGTCTGGCGCCACGACGCCTTCGAAAACGTCACGCGCGCGCTCGTCGACGATTTGGAAAGGCCCAACGGGCTGGCCCTGATCCCCAGGGGCGACCAGCTCGTCGTCAGCGACTGCTGCCAGGGCGCGACGCCGACGTGCCCCGCCGGCGAGGCGCGCTGGAACGTCTACGACCTGTCGCGCGACCTGTGGCGGGCGACGTTCGTTAGGCGGATCGAGCACGCCGACGACGTCAAGGAGGGCTGCGCGGACGGCTTCGTGTACCACGCCTGGTTCCACGTGCTGCTCGCCTCCTGCCCCGGGGGGTTGTGCGTCGTCGGCCTCGACGAGGGCGCGGTGATCGCGAAGCTCCGTTTCGGGGGCAGCGTCGCGAACGTCGAGCTCGGCGGCGGCTACGCGTGGATCACGGGCAACGGCGGCCTCTACCGCATCAAGCTCAACGACGAAAAGCCCGCGGACGTCGTGAAGCCCTTCGCGGAGAGCCTCCAGGGCCGGGCCGAGACGGGCGCGCACCTCCGCCCGCCGCCGCCGTCGGCGGAGCTCTGAGGGTAAACTTTCGGCGCAGGAGCTCAGGTAGATAGTTGCAGCTCAACACTACCGCTCGCGGATCGCAGCGCACACTTTACGACGCCGAGTCCGCCAGCACGCGCGCGCCCGCGGCGCCCTGCCACTAGTGCCTGCATCATCGCGAGTCGAGGAACTCCTGCATCCCCGGCACCATCTTGCCTCCGCTGAGATTTACTCTCATGTTGCCGGCCGGATGGGAGGAATCATGGCCGGCGCAGTTGCAAGCGGCCCGCCCAGCGTGAGAAGCACAGCGGGGCAGCCCCATTCAATATCACTGACCTTTCCCCGCAAGTTTCAACAAATGAGCCGTTGTTGAACGTTTTATGAATGCGATGGCTCGGTAGAGGGCTGCTCGTCAGGATGGCGACCTGGCTGCTCGAGCCCGAGTTCGAGCGCTACGAGGAGACGAAGGAGCGGAAACTCGTCTTCGCGGCGCACGACCCCTCGGCGCGGAACCACGTGCTCGCGCTCTGCGACGCCTGCGACGGCTTGGGCCCCTGCAGCTACGTGGACCTGAGTTTTTGCGACTTCCAGGACCCGGACTGGCACTCGCGCCTCCTCGACGGCTTCGGGCCCTTCGACGGCTTGGTCGTGGGCTGCTCGAGCAACGGCAGGGAGTTCGAGCTCATCGCGACGGCGAAGCTCGAGCATCGGAACGCGAAAACGGTCATGCTCGCGGAGCTGGGCCTCGGCCGGCCGGGCGTGCCGCGCCTCGCGGGGCTCGCCGAAGCGTCGGCGCCGGATTTAATCCTCGTGACCAACGAGCGCGCCGAGGCGAGCGTCGCGGCGCGGCTCGACGCGGTCGGGGCGAAGAAAACACGGGTCGTCCTCGGCGGCTCGGGCCACCTGGAAAAGCTCCGAAGCTCGAGGACGGGGGAGCTCGACCGCGACGCCGTGCGCGCGGCGTACAACTGCGCGCGCGACGCGGCGCTCGTCGCCTACTTTGCGTGCTGCGACGACGCCGCGTTCGAAGTCACCGCGGACGACGTCGCGGCGATGGTCGACAAGGCGCTCGACGTCGTCGCCGGCGCGGAGAAGGTCCTCCTCGTGGTGCGCCCCCACCCGCGGGCCTCGGCGGCGGCGCACGGCGCGTGCCGACGGTTGTTGAGTGGCTTCGAGCACGTCAACTACGACGAGCACTCGGCCGTCGATTTGGACAGCCTCCTGCGCGCCGCGGACGCGGCGCTGTCCTACGGCTCGACGACGGGCCTCGAGGCCGCGGCGCTGGGCGTGCCGACGGCGTTCGTGGTCGGGGGCTGGGCGGGCCAGCGCGCGTACCTCGACGACCAGTACGCGCACTGCGACGGCGCGTACCCGCGTCTGTCGACGGCCGCGGACGGCGCGGCCTTCCTCGCGCAGGCGCGCCGGGCCGGCGGCCGCCGGGCGCCGGCGGCCGACGCGGACCACACGACGGGGGCCCTGGAGCGGTGCCGGGCGGCGCTGGCGACGGTGCTGGCGGCGAAGCCGGGGCCCTACGACGGGCTGAACTTTAAGGTGGTGGTGTAAGGTTCCTGGATGCCTTTCTCTCGGTGGGGGGCGTATGTTATCGCAACGAACCAGATCCATGGTACGACGGGCAAAAAAAAACCGAACCAGATCCATGGTACGGCGGGCAAAAAAAACGAGCAACACTCGGGATTCCAACGTGGTCACCCACCGTAGTACTAACCAAGCTCGATCCGGCTTAACTTCGCTGAGCTGACGGGAAGCGGTGCTCTCCGAATGATATGGTCGCTCGTGTGATTGTCACACGCAAAACCAACTATAAACACCAACTAGCCGATTTGGGTTCGAGGCGGGGCAGCACGTTCGCGGGGCTGCTTATAAACTTCAACCTGTTTGATTGAACCCGCACAAAACAGCCAAACCCTCAGACCACCGCAGCTCTCGCAGCTCAGCTCTCGTGACACCATGCGCACCTTCACGCTCGCTGCCATCATAGCCGCCGCCGCCGCGCTGCGCCCGACGCAGCGACCGAACTTCGCGGTGGCCCGCAAGGCCATGGCGAACGCCGTCCTCGCCGGCGCGGCGATCGCCGGCGCCGCGGCCGCGCGCGCCGACACGCTCGACCCGGCGACGTCGCTCGTCGGCGAGCTCGCGGGCCTCAAGGCCGACGTGCGCGCGGGCAAGGCCAACGCGCGCAAGGTGAAGCAGGCGACGGCGCGCACGCTCGCGCCGCTCACTCGCGCGATGACGAAGAACCCGCTCAACGAGCGCACCGACTACGGCGACCTCATCGCGCAGAAGATGACGTCGGACCTCACCAAGCTCGCCGACGCCGTCGAGGCCAAGGACGGCTTCGAACCCGTGCGCGGGCCCACGGGCGACATCTCCTACCCGGCGGGCAACGTGGAGAAGCTCCTCACGTCCATGACGGAGAACACGAAGGCCTACTGCCAGGTCCTCGACTGCGACAACCTGCTCATCTACCGGTAGTGGTGGTCCTTGTAAGAGGTGTAGTTCGACGCGGCTCTCTCGGCGCGCGCGAGTCCGCTCGCGGCGCGCGCGTCGGCCGCGCGGCCGCGCTTTGGCTCTTCGAGGCGCCGCGTTCCAGCGAAAGCAGGCGCGCCCCGACGACGACGACGACGCGACAGGGGGCTCCAGCGTAGCGCGAGAGCCGTCGCCGCATGCCCACGCTGCGAAGGTATTGCGACGCTGCAACTAGCCGACCTTGAAGCGCGCGAAGCGCTGCGACGCACCAAGAGCGGAGAGCAATGCAAGCCGCGTTGCGCCGAGCGGCGCGGCGCCCAACGGCGGCGCGCGCCGTCGGTCGCGCCCTCAGCGCGCGCGCCGACGCGCCGAACATCTACTGCGACCCGCACAAGTTCGACTACCTGCGCGAGATCCTGAACGCGCGGGTCTACGACGTGGCTGTCGAGACGCCGCTGCAGCGCGCGAACTCGCTGAGCCGCAAGGTCGGGGCGGAGTGCCTCATCAAGCGCGAGGACACGCAGCCCGTCTTCAGTTTCAAGATCCGCGGCGCCTACAACAAGATCGTGTCGCTCGGCGACGCCGCGCTCGCGAAGGGCGTCGTCGCCTGCTCCGCGGGCAATCACGCGCAGGGCGTCGCCATGAGCTGCAACTACCTGAAGGCGCCGGCGACGATCGTCATGCCGCGGGGCACGCCGCGCATCAAGGTCGACGCCGTCGCCCAGCACGGCGGCGACTACGTGCGGGTCCTGCTGCACGGCGATTCCTACGACGACGCGTACGCGGAGGCGACGCGCTTGGTGGAGGAGGAGGGCCGCACGCTCATCCACCCCTTCGACGACCCTCTAGTCATCGCCGGCCAGGGGAGCGTCGGCGCGGAGATCCTGCGCCAGACGAACGGGAAGCGGCTGGACGCGATCTTCTGCTGCTGCGGGGGAGGCGGTCTCCTGGCGGGCGTCGCGGCCTACGTCAAGCAGGTGCGGCCGGGCGTGCGCGTCTACGGCGTCGAGGCCGTCGACGCCGCGGGCATGACGGCGTCGCTGGCCGCGGGCGAGCGGGTCGTCCTGGACCGCGTCGGATTGTTCGCGGACGGCGCCGCGGTCAAGGCCGTGGGGACGGAGACGTACCGGTTGGCGGCGCGCTACGTCGACGGCATGGTCACGGTGGACAACGACGAGATCTGCGCGGCGATCAAGCAGGGCTTCGAGGACACGCGGTGCGTGCTCGAGCCCGCGGGCGCGCTGGCGCTCGCGGGCCTCCGGAAGCACGTCGAGTCTTCCGACGAGGCCGGCGGCACCTACGTGGCCGTCGCGTCGGGCGCGAACATGGACTTCGACCGGCTGCGCTTCGTGTCGGAGCGCGCGGACCGGTCGGAGGTGCGGCTCGCGTGCACGATGCCCGAATCGCCCGGCGCGTTCCAGAAGTTCTACGGTTTGATCTACCCCTGCAACGTCACGGAGTTCTCCTACCGCTACCACCGCGCCGACGCGCCGGCGGACGTCATCGTCGCGTTCCAGCCGCAGACGGACCAATTCATGGACCGCCTCGCGGCGCACGGCTACGCGCCGCGCGACATCACGGACGACGAGCTCGTCAACACGCACCTGCGCCACCTCAACGGCGGGCGCTCCGAGTTCGTCGGCGACGAGCGCATCTTCCGCTTCGAGTTCCCCGAGGCGCCGGGCGCGCTCAAGAACTTCCTCGCGCACTTTGAGACGGACGCGTTCAACTGCAGCCTCTTCCACTACCGCAACTACGGCCACGACTTCGGCCGCGTGCTCGTCGGCGTCCAGGCGACGACGGACCGGGCGGAGCGCAAGCTCAACGACTTCCTCGAGAAGCTCGGCTACCGCTACACCGAGGAGACGCACAACCCGACCTACGTCCAGTTCCTCACGAGCCAGCGCTGCCCGAAACGGTAGGGGCTGCGGTCGTAACCTCGCCGATTAGGACGCTGGTCGTTCCCGGTCGGGGGGAGCCATGTACGCGTCGTCGCGAGCTTCAACTAAAGTACTTGAACTGCAACATCGCCCGCATATCGTTCCCGGTCGGGGGGAGCCATGTACGCGTCGTCGCGAGCTTCAACTAAAGTACTTGAACTGCAACATCGCCCGCATATCGTCGCCGACGCGCCGACGGTCGTGGACCTGGGCCTCTTCTACATCCTCTACGAGCTCGGCGAGGACGACATCTGCCCCGACTGGGCCGACAAGTTCGGCCTGCCCCTGCTGCGCGCGTTCGCGGACCGCGTCGCCGCGCGGCCGCAGATCGCCGCGTTCCTCGCGTCGCCGGCGCGCATGCCGCGCTACGCCCGGGAACCCTCTGGCGCGAGCCTCTACACCTACCTCGCCGGGCGCGACTCGCCCGACTTAAGCCTCTAGCTAGAGCCGCTTCCACGTGTCGGGCCCCATGAGCCCGCCCATGAAGTAGACCAGCAGCCGCATGGGCGCGCAGCCGATCTGCTCGATGGCCCAGGGCACGAAGGTCGGGCCCCAGCGGATGATCATGTACCACTTGAAGAGGAACCAGTTGAGCCCCGGGAAGAAGACGCGGAACAGCGGCGGGAACGTCAGCCAGTAGACCGTGTTCCGGATGTTCTCCGGCACGCCGACCTTGGAGCACTCGAAGGCGAACCGCGCCTCGGCCGCGGGGATGCGCACGCCCGTGTGCCACTCCGAGATGTGCGCGTGGCACCAGCTCCCGGGCAGCCAGGGGTCGAAGACGCTCAGGAACCAGCGCAGCGAGTAGATGGGGTAGAACCGCGACGCGCCGCCCTTCTTCTCCTCCTGGGGCTCCTCTTCTTTGGTTTCTGGCGCCTCCATGATCGTGTTCGACTCCGCGCCGGGCGCCGCCTCCGACGCCATGGCGCAAGGGCTGCCAGAAAAGTCTCGTCGCTTGCCGTGCATGTTGAAGGCATCGTGGCCTTGCGGGGCGAGATTAGGACGCAACGACGGCCCCGAGACCATCGCGCTCAAGGTCGCCAACCTGAGCATCGCCTAAGGCGCGGAGGACTCCATCTTACGAGGTCGCGATTCGGGGGGGGGGGGCGGGGCTTCTTCGGGGCCTAGGACGCCTCGGAGGGCACGGACGCCGGGGCGGGCTCGTCGACAGCGTCGATGAGCGCGGCGACGTCGATGGGCGTGGCCGCCGCGGGCGCCTCGTCGAGGGGCGCGACGTCGAGGGGCGCGGCGTCCTCCGGCAGCACGAGCGCGGGCGCGGCCGCGGGCGCCGGATCCGTGAGCGGGAGCGCCGCCATGAGCGCGTGCTCGGCCGCGCTCGCGGCGACGTCCGCGCCGGAGACGAAGGCGTCCGCGCCCGCGAGCTCGCGGAGCACCTTCTCGATGTCGCGGATCTGGTAGGCCTTGGTCTCCTGGTACTTGTCGTTGAAGTCGTCGATGGAGAGCCGCTCGACGTCCGCCGCCGTCGGCGTGAACGCGTGCGTCGGGAAGTCCTTCTCGCGGAGGAAGTACTCGAGGCGGCTCGCGAGGCGGGGCTTGCCGCCCTCGTCGTCGAGGCCCGCGGCGGCGCACATCTTCTTGAGGTTCCGCAGGTCCGCGCCGCCGACGAGGCGCCGGCTCAGGCGGATGACGTTGAGGATCTCCTCCTCGGGCAGCTGGGGGCCGTCGGGGGCCCGGGCCTTCTTGACCTTTTTGATGGGCGGCGCGTCGACGTCGGCAACCGCGGGCTCCGGCGGCGGCTTCTTCGCCGGCGGCTTCTTGGGCTCGCGCTTCGGCCGCTTCGGCGCGGGGTCCTCCGCGGGCACGACGACGGCGACGTCGGCCGCCGCGACGTCCGGAACGGCGGCGGCGACCTCCTCCTTGGGGGGCTTGCGCTTGCCGGAGGACCGGGGCTTCTTCTCGCCCGACGTCGCGGCCGCGGCCTTGGCGGCCTTCTTCTCGTTGCCGCAGACGCGAGCCTTGAGCTCGCCCAAACCCAAGCTCTCGGGCGCGCGGCCGTCGTCGTAGGCGATCGTGTAGCAGGGCCCGTCGACGAGCGTGCCCGTCTCCAACGTCGCGTCGTAGGCCGTGACGGAGCCGCGCAAATTGACGGACTTGCGGTAGTCGAGGAACCGCTGGCCGACGAGCGCGTCGCCGGCCTTCTGGCAGAAGGCGACCTGGGCGTCGTAGATCTCGCGCTGGGTCGTCGCCTCGTCGTTGTAGGGCTGCTTGCCCACGTCGTCGAGCGCCTTCCACTCCGCGCCCGTCAGCGCCGCGAACTCGGTCACGTTGACGCCCGGGTTCTGCTCGTGCTTGCCGCGGAAGTAGAGCATGTAGGCGCTGAGGGGCTTCGTCGGCACGCAGTCGTCGACGCGGCCGCCGCCGTCCTTGAACTGGGTGATGGCCGCGTCGTACTCGGCCTTGGCACTCGCCGCGAGGTCCTCGTAGCGCTTCCGCCCGTCGGCGTCGAGCGACTTCCAGTCGGCGCCGAGCTGCTGCTGAGCGCGTTGTTGTTGACGCGGTACGCCGGCTCCGCGGCCGCCGCGGCCTTGCAGGCCTCCGTGCGCTTCTCGTCGTAGAAGAAGTGGTACGCCGTCTTCGGCCGCTTGGGCTTCTTGACGGACGAGCCGGTGGCGGGTTTCGGCGCCTTCCGGATGACGGGCGACGGGTTCGGGAGCAGCGCGTCGAGCGACTGCGTGATCACCGCCGCGCCGAGCGACGGGATCGCGACGGCGGGGTGCGGCTGGACGACCTAGGGGCGGGTGTGTCGCTGGAACTGTCGCGGGAGAGCGCCGCGGCCGGTCGAAGTCGCGCGCGCGCGCGGCAAAGCTGCGCCGCGTCGCGGCGCGCGGGGGGGGTCATTTGACGCCGGGCGCGCACGACGGGGGGCGACGGCGGCACCTGGGGCGCGACCTGCTCGTAGTCCATGGGCACGGCGACGACGGGCGGCGCGGGCGCGAGCGCCGGGATGGCGAAAGACGACAGCGGCACGCTTTCCGAGGCCGTCGCCGGGGGGAATTCCAATGGCACGGGGTTGGGCAATTGATCCATCGCGATCTACTTGCGATAGGGCCCTGCACGCTTTGGTGTAATCTCGCAGTGCGACGCCGGAGAGCGTCGACGAGCCCCGGCCGCTAAGCTCGCCTGGGCTCGAGCGAGATCGAGCGAGATCTTCAAGCCCCGGCCACACGAGCTTCAACATCGACTCGATTACTTTAATGATGGCTGCCCGGCTCGTGGTCGTCTCGTGATGCTCTCGAGATCGTGAAGCAACTTCAGAGAAGCGTTGCTAGGCCACACAACCATCCCGCGCCGCGCGCTCCTTCGCCGCATGGCGTCGTGGTCCTCGGGCGAGCCGCGCAACCTCCGCTACGCGCAGCCGCTCGTTCCGCCGCACACGAAGAGCATCCTCTGCTACGGCGACTCGATGACGGCGGGCTACTGCGAGGGCGGCTTCGCCTTTGCGCCCTACGCGCCCGCCCTCGAGCGGGCCCTCGGCGGCAGCGTCCGCGTCGACCACGTCGGCCACAGCGGGATGACGGCGACGGAGATGCTCCGCTACGCGGACGCGCCCGACGCGGGGCTGCGGGCGATCCTCGACGCGGCGAACGGCCGCTACGCGGCCGTCGTGCTCCTCGCGGGGACGAACGACCTGGCGGAGGTGCAGCACCGACCCGACGGCGCGGCGCGCGTCGGCGAGGCCGTCTGGGCGCTCCACGACCTCGCGAAACCGCTGCCGACGGTCTGCGTGTCCATTCCGGGCTCCATGGCGCAGGAGAGGATCCCCGCGTTCCGCGAGCTCGCGCGCGGCGCGAACGAGGACCTCCGGCGGCGCTGCGACGGCGCCGGCGTGACGTTCGCGGAGTGCCCCGTGGCCTTCGACGCGTCGAGCGGCGACTGGGAGTCGGACGGCCTCCACATGACGCGCCAGGGCTACGCGGCCTTCGGCGCGGGCCTCGCCGGCGCCGTCGCGAGCGTGCCCCTCCGTTCGTAAGGGTCTGTAACATTAGTCCTCGAACTCGTCATCCCCGTAGTCCTCCTCGAAGCCCTCGTCGCCGTAGTCGTCGTCGTCGTCGTCGCCGGCGGCGCGAGCCGCGGGCGCGGGCGCGGCCGCCGGCGCGGCCGCGGTCGCCGCGTCCGACTCGACGGACGTCGCCAGCAGCTCGTCGGGCGGCGGCGCGGCCTTGGTCGCGGCCGACGCGTGGGTCACGGCCGTGAGCGCCGTCGCGACCGTGTTTGCCGAGCCGACGGACGCGTGCGTCGCCACGGACGGCGTCGGCGAGTCCGGCTCCGCGGGGACCACTTTCGACGGCGGCGGCGTGTCGGCGATGCCGAGGGACTGGCTCATGTGCTTCGGCGACGTCTTGACGGGCGGCGGCGGCCGCCGGGGCGGCGCGCCGCCGGAGCTCGGCCGCGGCCGCGCCTCGGGCGCGCGCGGCGTCAGAGGCGGCACCGCGGCCGCCGCGACGCTCGTCGGCGGCGGCGCCTCCCGGGCCTCGGCGGCGGCGGGCGCGGGAGCCACGGCCTCGGCGGCGGGCGCCTCCTTGAGCTTCGCCGGCGCGAGCTGCTTCGCGTCGAGCTGCCGCGTGAAACGGCGCGCGGCGTACGGCGGCGGCGCGGACGCCTTGGGCTTCTCGGCCTCCTTGGCCTCGGGCTGGCCCGGAGCACCGTCCTTGGCGTCGTCGTCGTCGTCGTCGTCGGACGACGAGGAGGAGGAGGAAGAAGACGACACGGACGAGCGGCTGCCCCGGGAATTCCGCGCGGCTTCGCCGACGGCCGTGAGGTTCCCGAAGGCCTTGGCCGTGCCCTCGGCGATGGTGCTGCGCCGGCTCCGGCCGCTGTTCATGATGGAGTCGGCCAAATTCCCCGCGGACGTCTTTTCCAAATTTTTGAGCTGGTCGACGGTCACGGACGCCCGTCTCGGCGGCGCGGACGCCTTCGGCGCGCCGCCGCCGGCGCCGCCCTCGCTCAGGCTGAGGCCCGACGCCGACATGCGCCGCCCGCCGCCGGGCCGCAAGCCGCCGCGGCCGCTGAAGTTGAGCGCGTGGAGCGACGCCTTGCGCAGCGACACGAGGCGGTCGTTGCGGAAGCTCTTCTGCTTGTCCAGACCGTCCTTGTCGAGGCCCGGCCCGGCGGCGCCGACGTTGCTCGGCCGCCGCGCCATGGTGCGCGTCATCATGACCTTGGACCCCTCGGACCGCAGCGTCTCCTCGCGGCTCTCCGCGAGCTTCTGCTTCCGCATCATCTCGAGCGACTCGATCTCCTCGGGGTTCAGCAGGTCGAAGAACTCCGCGGAGATGAAGGGCGGCGGCGGCGGCGCGTAGTTCGCCGCCTCGCCGGTCGCCGGCGTGAGGATGAGGTCGCTCGCCGTGATGGGCGTCATGTCGATGATCGGCGCGTCGACGGGCGCGGCCGCGCGCGCGCCGCCGGCGCCGGCCTGGAGCATGCTGAGCATGCCGCCGGCGACGAGCGGCGCCTGGAAGATGGACGTCTTGCGCTTCCGCGGCTTGACGGCCGGCGGCGGCTCGTCGGCGGCGTCGGGCTTCTTCGCCGGGGCCTTGGCGGGCGGGGGCGGGCCGCGGTCGTCGGCCTTCTTGGCCGCGGCGCGCGCGGAGCCGCGCGCGGACTCCGCGGGCGCGTCGCGCTTCGACTTGCGGCCCGGCGTGGACGGGCCCGCGCCCTTGGGCGACGGCGCGCCGCGCGCGGCGCCGCCCTGGCCCGTGTCGAGCCGCGGCTTCGCGCGCGCGCGCTTCCGGCCGGACTCGCGGAGCGCGTCGCCCTTGGAGCCGGGGTCCGGGCTGGAGGGCTCGGAGCCCGTGGCGTCGGAGCCGTCGCGCTTCGGCGCGTCGGGCGACGCGAAGTTGTAGAGCGAGCTCTGGATCGTGTTCGGCGACCCGGGCTTGTTCGACGCCTGCGACGCGCGGCGCACGAACGTCAGCGACTGGATGGCCGTCCGCTGCATGAGCGCCGACGACCCGGGCGACTTGAGCGTCTTGCGCGCCTTCTCGCGCTGCTCCGCGTCCGTCTTCGCCAGGTTCGCCATGGACTGGGCCATGGACGCGCGGTGCCGCTCCCAGACGTTCGCGCCGCCGGCCGCGCCGGAGTCCCGCTGGATGGACTGGTACGCGCGCGACCGCATGGCCGCGGACCCCCGCGACTTCTTCGCCCGCGCCTCCAGGGCGTCGCGCCGCGCGCGGTAGCGGTGCCACTTGCGCTGGATGACGCCCGACGCGATCTGCGGCAGGATCCGCCGCTGGTACAAGCGCGCCATCGCGTAGAGGCAGATCTGCTCCACGTAGCCCTCGGCGACGATGTTCACCAGGCGCAGGTGGCGGATCTCCGAGCGGCTCCGGATGCCCCGCCACTGGGCCTGGAGGAGCAGCGCCGACGTGCGCATGGCGAAGAGGCGCCGGACGATTCGCGCGGCGAGGTGGACGCGGACGCGGCTCTGGTATTTCGTCGCGACGGCGTGCTTCCGCCGCTTGATGACGTAGGACTTGAGGTTCACGCTCAGGATGCCCAGGGCCCGCGTCTCCCGCAAGTTCCGCACCCGGAGCCGCGCCTTGTGCGTGCGCCACGCGCTCTGCAGCACGACGGCGCCGAAGACGATCGACGCCGCGCCGATGTCCGCCTCCTGCTCCCGCGCGAGCGTCCGCTCCATGCGCTCGATGAAGGCCGCCTCGGACTTCATGCTCGCGAGCACGCGCTCGAGCTTCGCCTCCGTCTGGGCGACCGCGCGCTGGCGCCGCGCCTTGCGCAGGTGCACGGACTCGAGGGACGCGTCCTCGTAGAAGCGCTTCCGCAGCTTGCCCGAGAAGCGGTACGTGAGCTGCGACACCGTCCCGTCCTTGTTCCGCGGCGCGCCCCGCGGGCTGTCGTGCTCCCCGACCCAGGCCATGCCCATGGCCGGCATGGCGCCGTCGGAGAGCGGCCCAGACGCTCGTTTTTTGGCGTTTCAGGATTCTTGATGTTGATGTTGATATCGATGTGAACCCCATGCGACTAGGAGGTCACCGTGACCGCGCTTTACGCCTCGCGCGCCGCTCTTTCTTCTGTTTTGCGAGCGCCTTCTTTTTGGACCCTGGCTTCTCTTTCGAGTCGACAAGGAGGGCTTCAAGGGGCAATTCGAAGGGCATCAGGATGGAGGCCTCACCCAGGCGTTTACCCCGTCGCGGCGAGCTCCGCGCGCGCGCGCGGGTCGGCGCCGCACTTGACGAGGGCCGCGTCCTCCTTGGACGTGTAGAGGACGAAGCCCGCCGAGGACCGCCGGCGGTACTCGGCGTACTTCGCGAGGACGCGGTCCGCGTGGCGGACGACCAGCGCGGCGAGCTTCCGCGGATCGTCCTCCAGAAGCTCGACGACCTCCGAGTCGACGAGCAAACGCGACGCCTCCGCGGCCTCGGCGCGCGCACCACGGCTCCCGTCGCCGATGACGACCAGCGACGGCTGGAACGTGTTGCGAAACGCGTCGGCCCGGGGCCAGTGCTTCTCCGCGGTCTCCAGAAACGCCATGCGCCGTCGAAAGTCGTCGTCGCCGCGCCGCCAGAAGCTCAGGCGCTCGAGGGGCGACGGCGCCGGCGGCGACACGCGCGGCGACGCGAAGACGAGCGCGTCGACGCAGTTCCGCGTGAACCGCGAGCAGAGCCGCACGGCGAGCGACGCGCCGAGGTCGAAGGCGACCAAGACGTTGATGGACGTCAGCGTCCGGTTCGTCGACTCGCCGGAGAACTCCTGGTAGACGGCGTAGAGGTCGAGGCTCAGCTCGTTCGCCGACGACGGCGCGTCGGCGACGACGGCGACGACGCTGTGGTGCACCGCTAATTCGCGCACGAGGCGCTCGTCGACGCGCGCGCCGGCGGAGACGAGGAACGACGTCGGCGCGGCGCGGTCCTCGTGGGGCGCGAAGCGCACGTAGCTGCGGCGGCCCGGTCGGACCTCGCGCACGTTGGCCAGCGGCAGGCGGCCCGTCACGAACTCGGCGACCTTGAACTGCAGGTCCTGCGGCAGCGGCAGCATCGCGCGCGCGTTCAGCGCGGGCGGCGCACTCGTCGTGGCGTCGGGGCTGCCCGCGGTCGTGGCGCCGGAGAGCAAAACTCAATTACGCCATGCTGCAGTCGAGGTGAAGATTTCGGAATACGGAGCTCGCGCCGATATGGCGGGCAGCCGTGCGCGACGGCGAGGTGGATTCGCCCTCGCGGCCGCGACGGTCGGCCTCGTCGCCTTCGCCGGGCTCCGGGCGCGGTCCAGCGGCGCGACGGCCCAGCTCGCGACGATCCTGGGGAGCGAGGGCGCCCTCTTCGTGCCGTCGGCCTTCAGCCCGAGCAGCAACGCCTCCGTCAACGGCATCCCCCTCTACGACGACGAGGCGCCGCTCGGCGCCTACCGGCCGAATTTGTACAAGAAGACGCACTCGTCCCTGGACCCCATCAACGAGCGCATCTGGCTCGTAACCAACTTTGGGTTCCCCTGGTCGGGCGCCGACGAGTACTGGTACGACGGCGCGATGGCGTCGTCGACGCGCGAGGTCCACATGGCCGAGCTCAGCGACCAGGTGGACCTGTGCGCCTACCGCGCGACCTTCACCTTCCTCGGGAACTACCTGTGGCACGAGCTCGGGTCGACGGTGACGCCCGAGGGCGCGCTGGCGCTGGAGAGCTTCTACGACTACACCTACCGGCTCCACACGACGGGCGCGGACCAGGGCTCCTGGGAGACGGCCTACGAGTGGGACGCCTACGTCTACCTCTCGTCGGCCTTCTACGTGCCGTCCATCGACGCGCACGCGCTCACGCTCTCGAAAAACGGCGTGCCGCACCTGAAGCGGTCCTACGCGGGCGCCGCGGGCGAGACCTGGTACGTCGTCTTCGCCTTCAACCCCTACAACGGCGAGACCATCGCCCTCCACTCCGGGACGACGGCCTACCGCGGCGAGTACCCCGCGTTCGAGGCGTCGATGTGCGTCGACGCGATCGCTTTACCGTTCACGGTCGCGCGCTACCAGGCCTGGTGGGCGTCCTTCAACGCGACCTTCGACGAGGCCAGCGGCCTGCCGGATGTGTTGCCGGCCCTCGTGTCCCAGCCGACGCACAACGCCACGGGGGTGGCGCACTTCCTCCGGTCCGCGCCGGCCGCTTTGTACGACTGGAACGTCAACGAGAGGGTCGGCGACGCGCGCGAGGGCCAGAAAACGGGCGCGTCCGGCGGCGCCTGCCGCATCACGGAGATCATGGCCTACACGTCCATCATGGAGGGCGACGACGACGCCCTCGACGCGGCGATCCTCGCGCCCGTGCGCTTCGTCGAGTCGTCGGCGCGCACGGGCGACCTGAGCGTCGCGGACTACGTCGACCTCGTGGACCGGAGCGTGCGCGCCTTCACGGGCCAGGACGCGGGCTACTCGCGCTGGCTCGACAACCACGTGGGCCTCGGGAACACGCTCTACAAAAGGCCCGTGGACGAGCTCGCGGCGTGGCTCGAGCGCGTCGACGTGCCCTGGCACGCGCACTACACGGAGATGGCCTCCGACGACGACGGCGCGGAGACCCTGGGCTCCCTCTGGACCGCGGGCGTCGCGGGCCTCGCCTTCGAGCTCCACGGCGCCTTCAACTTCACCGCGGTCCACGACCCCGTCGGCGAGCTCGACTACTGCACGCGGACGTCCGTCTGCCGCGCCGAGGACTACGCCCAGTGCGGCCTCGCCGACGACCTCGTCTCGAGCCTCGAGTCGCCGAAGAAGGAGCGATAAGGCTAGTTATCGAACCTTCACGGCGCGCGTCGCGCACGCGGCCCAGCCCCCCTCGCCCGCGGCCGTGCAGTCCCCCCAGTGCCGGGGCCGGTTGTGCCGCCGGCCCTTGACGAACCAGAGCTGGTCGAGCCCGGCGCGCTCCACGAGCGGCGCCTCGCCGCGCCTCGCGAAGAATTCGAAGAACGCGACGCGCGCGCCCTCCCAGAAGCCGAAGTCGTCCAGCACCACGACGCCGCCGTCGGAGACGAGGTCGTAGAAGCGCTCGAGCGACGCGAGCACGGACGCGTGCCAGTCCTACGAGGGTAAAAATGGAGATCTAGCACACTAAAAAATGGATGCAGGGCCTTGACCCAGCAAGCGCACGCAGTCGATGTTCAAAAACGCGACGGCCTCGGGCTGCGGCCCCTCGACGAACGACGCGTCGAACCAGCCGCGCTTGAGCACGGCGCCGCCGCCGTCGACGTCGACGCCGACGCGCCGCAGCCGCTCGGCGACGGCCTCGGGCGTCGCCTCGGCGCCCCAGCCGGCGAGCGTCGCCGCCGTCGCGCCGTCGGCGTCGCCCGCCGCGGGCATGCCTACGGCGGCGGGCGCGCGTTGAATCGTGCCGGTCGCGGACGCCGGGTCGCGCCCTCCCACGAGTCGTAGAGCCAGAGCGTCCGCGCCTTCGCGCGGCCCTCGGCCTCGAACGCGGCGAAGACCTCGCCGACGGCCGCGGCGCTCTCGCCGACGTGGACGCCCGTCTCGACGTAGTCGCCGGGCACGGCCGCCATCAGTACGTGCGTCGCGAGTTCGCGGTAGCGCTCGCAGCGCCCCGGCGCCGTGTCGACGCAGCCGCCGGGCCGCGCCGCCGCGGCGTAGACCTCCGTGCTCCGCGGCGACACGGGCGCGTCGTGCGCGTCGCAGGCCACGGCGAAGGACGTCGTCGCCGCCGGGCCGAGGCACGCGAGGCCGCCGGCCGTCTGCGCCCAGACGCGGAGCCGCCGCGCGGGCCCGCCGACGGGCTGCACCGCGTCGTGGAGTTCGACCAAGCCCGACGCGAAGGCGGCCGCGGGCGAGCAGGCGTAGGACACGTCCACGCCGTCGGCCCAGACGTCCATCGTGAGGCAGAGCTCCGCGCCCTCCGGCAGCGCGCCGAGGCCCTCGACGCGGATGCTGATGTTGTGGAATTTTCTACAGCCGGGCGGGTGCGACGGCTCGCGGAAGACGTGGCCGTCGGGGATGCCCAGCGTTATGGTCGCGTTCGCGTCGAAGTCGCAGGGCGCCGCCATGACCGCGAGTTTACGCTCGACGGCGTCGACGTCGCAGCCCGGTAGATCGCCGCAGCGCCGCAAAGCCGCGGCGCGCGGCGGCTCGGCGAGCGGTTCCGGTAAAGCGGCGCAAACAAGGATGCCAGCCAGCGCGAGGCCGGTGAGGCTGCCCATTGTGCGCGGCTCCGGCGCCGCGGCGACATTGCAAAACAGCACGCACGCCAGCGCGAGGCTGGTCAGGCTGCCCATTGTGCGCGCGCCACCGAGGCTAATATTGACGGCAAGGAGGTACCGAAGCGGAGACTCCCAAGTCATCTGGCTTGCGAATAGAGGCCAGCGCATCGCAGCATCGCAGAGCTCTCGTCGCAGCAGCGGCCAGCGCATCGCATCGCAGCATCGCAATTCGTCGCAGCCATCGCAGCGCGCCGCAGCATTGCACAATGGCACGCACGCGTGCCGTCTTACTCGCCCTGCTCCCAGCCATAACCCTCTCCCTGAGCGCCGTCGCCGCGCCGCGACGCGCGCTGCCGCGGCTCAAGGCCGAGAGCTTCCGCCATCCGCTGGACAAGGACCTCACCTCGCTCGTCCAGAATTCGCCCGTGGCGCTGCTGGAGACCGTCATCAAGCGGGCCGCCGCGCCGCCCGTGGAGCAGATGGTGCGCCTCGACAACCTCGCGAACGCGCTCCGCGTCTCCGAGGACCAGTTCCCCGAGCTCCACGCGTCCTTCCGGGAAGCGCTGCGGATCCTCGGCGGCCTGCGCGACGGCGCCGTGCCGGAGCTCTACGTGCGCAGCGACCCGCGGCCCAACGCCTACACGCTGGCCATGCAGGGCGGCGCGCCGTTCGTCGTCGTCACGTCGGCGCTCGTCGACGGCTTTTCGGCGGCCGAGGTGCAGGCGGTGCTCGCGCACGAGCTCGGCCACCTCGTCTGCGAGCACAGCCTCTGGTTCTCCCTCGGCAACGTCGCGACGGCCCTCGCGCCGCCGCTGCCGGGCCTGGGCGCCGGGCTCGAGGGCCTGCTGCAGTCGTGGCGCCGCGCGGCCGAGTTCTCCTGCGACCGCGCGGCGCTCCTCGTGGCCCAGGACCCGGACGTCGTCAACGCGGCGCTCATCAAGCTCACGTCCGGGTCGTCGAAGGACGTCAACGTCGAGGCCTTCCTCGAGCAGGCGCGCGAGTACGAGCGGTCGCTCGGCGCCGCGAACCGCCTCGTGCGGAGCGCGATGCGCTCGTCGCTCGCCGACGCGACGCACCCGCTCCCCGTGAGGCGCGTCGCGGAGCTCGACAAGTTCGCCAAGTCGACCCAGTACGCGGCGATCATCTCCGGCGGCACGCCCCTGGCGTAATCCCTGTTTTTCGTGTTACGCGCAGGTGTAGAAGCGGAGCTTCCCGTCGTAGGACGCCGTCGCGAGCTGGGGGTACTTCGGGTTGAACGCGACGGCGGCGACCGCGTCCCGCGCGCCCTTGAGCCGCGCGAGCGCGCGGCCCGCGCGGATGTCGTAGACGTAGGCGCACTTGTCCTCGGAGCCGCAGGCGAGGAAGCGCATGCACGGCGAGAAGGCGCAGCGGATCGGGTCGCGCTTGTTCGCGTGCGACGTGAACCGCGCGGCCGCGCCGTCCTTGCGCAGATCCCAGAGCGCGACGACGCCGTCCGTCGCCGCCTGCGCAGGAAACGAGATATTCCACGTCGCTTCAACGTGGGTGTTCCGCGCGCACGCGCTCCGAAAAAAAGCGTCCACGCTTCGAGATCGTTCCGAGAGATGATCGCTCGTCCCAAAATCAGCCGAAACGAGCGGAAAACGGCCGAGAGAGGAACCTTTGAAGTTGGACATGTCGCACTCTTTTCCTGCCCTGGTCGCGGCCGTCGCGAAGACGTCGCAGGTCGACCGGGCGACGCCCGGCGCCGGCGGGCCGGGCGCGGCGACGTCGTGGGCCGGCCGCGCGTGCGCGTCGTCGATGACCCGCGCGCGCCGCCCCGCGGCCGCGTCGAGCACGGACACGCGCCGGTCGCTCGTCGCCGTGACGATGAGGGGCGAGTAGGCGCCGTTGAGGCAGGCGACGGCGTCGAGGCGCTTCGCGTCGCCGTGGCCGAAGGCGTGGACCCTCCGCGCCGCGCCGTCGCCGGGCCCCGCGCGGCCCTCGTCGAGGCCGACGGCGTAGAGCGCCTGGCAGGAAACAAAAAATATTCAACACGACTTCAATGTTTTTTGAACAGTTTCGACACAAGCGTTTGGCTTCTAGAAAGAACATGACGAGAGAAAACGATCCGTCCAAAAATTAGCCAAATCGACGTCGATTTGACCGAGATAGAGAAGTTGCGCTGGACCGGTCCATTCCACCGGTTGTTTCCGGCACAGGTCGAGCGCGAGCTCCGCGCGGCCGTCGCGCGTCCGCGGCGCGAGCAGGAACCGGTCGAGGTAGTAGAAGCGCGCGCCCGCGCCGCCCGCTTTCAGCGCGAGCGTCGGCGCCTCGACGGCGCGCTTCCGGTGGTTCGCGAAGACCTCGGGCGGCGCGCCCTCGTGGCCGCTGCGGACGACCCATTTCCCGTCGTGGCTGAAGGACGCGTGCGTCGGCCGGCCGCCGAGGCCCAGCGCCGTCGCGGCGGCGTCGCTGCCGCGGTGCTTGGCCACGGGCAGGCGGAGCGCGACGGGCGCGCCGCCGCTCGACGTCGCGACGACACAGCGCGCGTCGCTCGAGAACTCGACGCCGAGCAGCGCCGCGGACGTCGGCAGCGCGTAGTCGTGCCTACACCGAGGAGAATTGGGTTCTCTCGAAACGCAAATTGGGACGCCGCGCCGCGCTGGGGCTGGTGCGCGTCGAGGGGCCCGCAGTCGACGGGGTAGTCCGGCGCGTCGTCGCGCCGTCGCGGCGGCGGCTTCGAGCGGCGGGTCCCGGCCCCGTAGCCCGAGGACCGCACCTTGGCGTGGAAGGTGATGGGCATGTCCATGCCGGGCTTGCGCTTCGTCTTGTGGAGCGTGTCGTAGGAGAGGAGCGTCCGGTCCTTGGGCGGCGGCGCGGCGACGTCGGCGCGGAGCGGCGAGTCCGCGGGGAAGCCGCCGCGCGGCGGCGGCGCGAAGAAGGAGAGCGCCGTCTCCGCCGTCGGTACTCGCGCGGCGGCGCCGGGGAGCGTGCCCGCGTAGACCGCGGCCTCGAAGGCGCCCGCGGCGGCGACGCGGACCGGGGACCCGTCCGACGACAGCGCGGCGACGCTCGCGACCTTGTGGAGCGCCTCCACGACGGCGACGCCGCGGGAGACGACGTCGACGGCGAGGACGTGGGACGGCGTCGCGACGGCGAGGCCGCTTTCCGTGAAGCGGAGCGCGAGCGCGCCCGCGGACGTCTCCGAGGCCTCGGGGACGGCTTCGGGCGCGTCCGGCGGCCGCGCCCACGCGGGCTCGCTCGAGATGACCGCGGGCGCCGGCGGCGCCGCCGGCGCCGGCGATGCGGTGGCGGGCAGGCTCTTCCGGAGGTCGAGGACGAGCAGCTCCGCGCAGAAGCCGGAATCTTCTTGCCGCTCGAAGAGCCAGACGCGGCCGTCGCCCGCGGCCGCGGCGACGCGGCCGCGCTCCAGCGCGAGGGCGCGCAGGGGCGCCGCGCACAACACGGCCGACGAGTAGAGGCAGGCGCGTTGCGCGAGGTCCCAGACCTTGAAGGTGCGGTCCTCGCCGCAGCTCGCGAAGCCGCTCCCGCCTCCCGCCTCGAAGGCGACGGCCGCGACGCGGCCCCGGTGGCCCTCGAGGCGCGCGACGAGGGTCTCCGGCTCGTCGCTGCGCACGAGCTCGACGCGGCGCCCGACGCCGACGGCGAGCACGCAGCCGCTCGCGTCGAGCGCGCCGCACTCGGGCGCGGCGCTCTCCTCCTCGAAGCGCGCGACGGGCCGCGCGTCGCTCCGCAGGTCCCAGCTCGCGGCGCCGCTCCGCGACGCGAAGCAGCACACGGGCGCGCCGCCGCGGTCGCCGAGCGCGACGACGGTCACGGCGTGCAGGTCGCCCGCGCCCGCGGCGACGGGTTCGCTGCCGACCCAAACGACGACCTCGGGCACCTGGGACCGCGACGCGAAGGCGCAGGCGACGCCGAGGCGCGACGCCGCGATGGCCGTGACCGTGCTGCCGCGCCGCGGCGCGGCCTCTCGGAGGCGCGCGAGCACGCACGGGTGCGCAGCCATCGGGGGCAGCCTTTGTTCAAAAGAGAAGCTTTGCATGCTAGGCTAGGAGAGGTTAATAGTTAGAGGGCCTACCCGGGGGGTTTGCAACACAACTGATCGCTGAAGAATTGCCGCAGCTCTTCGGCGTCTTGCGTTGGCGGGCTTGCGCGCGCGGGAGGCAACGCGCTGCACCTGGAGCAGTGGGTGAGGCGTGCGAGCATAGCGCGCGAAGCGAGCACACAAAGCATAGCGAGCACAGCGCACGAAGCGAGTACGCAGAGGCATAACAAATGGCGCCGCTCGCCTGGCCGCTGCTGTGGCGCGGGCTGACGACCTGCGAGGCGCTGCAGGCCGAAAAGCAACTCCTCGACCTCGGCGTGGGCGAGGGCCGCTGGCAGCGGTCGGACTCGCGGGCCATCGGCGCGGACGACGACCGCGTCCACTCCGTCAGCGTCCGCGGCGCCGGGACCGAGACGCTCGTCATGGTGCACGGCCTCGGCACGGGGAGCGGCATCTTCTTCCGGAACCTCGGCCCGCTCGCGAGCAGCGGCGCGTGGGGCGCCGTGCACGCCGTCGACTGGCGCGGCGCGGGCCTCTCGGGCCGCCCGGCCTACCCGGCGCGGACGCACGACGACGCCGTGGACTGGCTCGTGGAGGGCCTCGAGGCGTGGCGGCGCGAGCAGGGCGTCGAGACGATGACGCTGCTCGGCCACTCCATGGGCGGCATCGCCGCCGCGCACTACGCGGCGCGCCACGGCGACCGCGTCGACCGCCTCGTCCTCGTGGGCCCGGCCGGCGTCGAGCGGCGGCGGCGCCTCTACGAGAAGGGCGACAGCGCGCTCTATGACCTCGCGTCGCGGCTCTGGGAGGACGGCTACCACCCGGCGGCCGTCGTCCGCGCGCTCGGGCCCTGGGGGAAGCGGCTCGTGGAGACCTACGCCGCGCGGCGCTTCCGGTGCAAAGTGCCGCTGTCGGACGACGAGGCCGCGGCGCTCGGCGAGTACCTGCACGCGTGCAACTCGCTCCCTGGGTCCTCGGAGAAGTGCATGAACCAGCTGCTCGGGCCCATCGCGCAGCCGCGCCAGCCCATCGCGCCGCTCGTCGAGGCCCTCGCGTGCCCCGTGTCCTTCATCTACGGCGAGCACGACTGGATGCAGCCGGCGTCGGGCGCGAACGTCGCGCGGCGGCGCCTCGCCGCGGGCAAGGGCGCGTCCTGCGTCGTCGTCCCGGGCAGCGCGGGCCACTACGTGTTCCTCGAGGACCCGGCGGCCTTTCTCGACGCGCTCCTCCGGCGCGTCGGGACGTAACTTTGAGTGGTTGCGGTTGATGGAGCACTGCAAGCGCCCTCGGAGAGGCACGATGGCTCGTCGGGCTGCCACCCCATGGCTGCTGCTCTCGACGGCGACGGCGAACATGGTTCCCATGTTTTTCCTCGGCGAGCTCATCGTCTTTCCCGACGAGGCGCTGCCGCTGCAGATCTTCGAGCCGCGGTACCGGCTCCTCGTCGCGCGCTGCCTGGGCGACCTGGAGGCGGCGGAGGACCTCGCGGTCCTGTCGCCGTTCGTCGGCGACGCGGACCCCTGCACATTCGGCATCCTCTTCGAACGATTGGGCCGCGGCGCGCGCGGCGTGCTGGCGACGATCGACCGCGCGTCCGTCGAAACCGCGGAGGAGCCCGTCGCGTACAAACTCGTCGCCACGGGCACGCGAGCGCTTCGCGATGGCCAGCGACGGCTTCTGGGAGCGCGTCGAGACCCTGGACGAGGAGCAGCCGCCGCTCGTCCACGCGAACGTCACGCTCGTCGACGACGAGGACGTCGCGGAGGACCCGCCGCCGCGCTGGGAGCAGATCCGGCGGCGGCTCAAGTGGCTCTTCGGCGCGGACGCGCGGGACGCCGTGCTCGCGAGCATCGAGGGCGTCGCGCCGCCGGGGTCGTCGTCGCAGGCCTTCGCGCTCGCGCGCCAGCTGCCGCTGCCCTTCAAACAGCGGTGCGAGCTCCTATCGCTCACGTCCGGCGCGGCGCGGTGGATCCGCATCGCGGACATCCTCCGCGAGTGGCTCCAGGCCGCGAAGCGAGCGCGCCAGGAGCGCCACCCCGAGTTGTAATACAGGCGAGGCGTTGCGCGGCCCCGGGCGCCTAGGTGAGGTACTTGAGCTCGTCGAGGTCGTCCTCCTCCTCCTCCTTCTCCTCGCGGACGGCCTGGCGCATGGGCGCGGAGCGGAACATGACCTGGCGGCCCGTGCGTTTCTTCGGCGCCTGCATGGACCGGGCGATGGATTTGCGGTTGCGCTCCTCCTGCTGCGCGTCCTGGAGCGCCTGCTGCTCCTGGCGCTTGCGCTCGCGGCGCTTCTTCTCCTTGTCCTTCTCCTCCTTCATGATGTACTCCTCGGACATGGTCTCGATGTGGTCCAGCAGCTGCTCGAGGCGCGCCTCGAGCTCCGAGAGCATGAAGAGCGTCGACGGCTTCGAGCCGACGTCGAAGCCGCACTTCTGGTAGACGTCGCGGACCTTCTCGTGGAGCTGCGCCAGGAGCTTCTCCTGGCGGCCCTGGGTCTCGCCGGCCCGCGCCTGGAGCCGCCCCCGGAGCTGGGCGGCCTTGTTCTCCTCCGCGCCGATCTGGAGCTCGAGCTCGTCGATGTTCTGCTTCAACAGGGCCGTCTTGCCGTCCATCTGCTCCTTCGTCGCCTCGAAGTTCTGCTTGAGCTCCTCGAGAGCCTTCTCCGTCTCCTGCGAGTTCTGGATCAGGAACAGGTTCTGCTCCTCGAGCTGGCTGAAGATGTCGAGGAGCTGCTGGGGGTGCTTGAAGTACATGGGCAGCTCCTCGTCGGAGGACGTGAGCGGCTCGTCCTCGAGCTCGGGCGTCGCGACGGGCGGCGGCATCTTCGGCGCGACGGCCTTGGACGGGTCGGCGCCGGCGACGGACTTGCGGCGGCGGCCCGCGCCGTACTTCTTCTTCGGCGCGGCCTCCGCCTCCTCGAGGCGCAGCTGCGCCTCGTACGCCTCGCGCCGCTTCTTCTCGAGCGCGTCGCGCCGCTTCTGGATCCGCGCCTGGCGCCGCGACTCCTGGCGCTCCCGCTTGATGGCCTTTTGCTCGGAGAACCACTCGTCGGGCGTCAGCGAGTCGAGGAACTCCTTGTACTTGAGGCAGTCCTCGAGCGCCTCCTTGTGCTTCGACATGTCCGAGCTCACCATCTGGATCTGCTGGTTCAGCCGCTTGATCTCCTGGACCTTGTCCGTCTTGAGCTTCGTCTCCTTCTCGGCCTTCTTGATGGCCTCGTGGGCCTTCTTGTCGTTCTCCTTGAGGAACGTGTCGAAGCGGATCGCGTCCTCCTCGAGCATCTGCTCCGACTTCTTCAGGGCCTCCTCCTTCATCTGGGCCTTCTCCTCGAGCTTGCGGATCTCCTCGCGCTTCGTGTCGAGGCTCATCTGGACGAGGAACATCTCGCGCTTCTTCGCGATGAACTCGGCCATGTTCTCCTTCTCCTGCCGCCGCTCGTTGACGACGATGGACCGCGCCTCGTTCACCGCGTCCTTGGTCTGGCGCGCGGACTTGGACGCCGCGGCGCCCTCGCGGCCGTCGCCGCCGATGAGCTCCTTGAGGCGCACGGACCCGGCGACCCGCGAGCCCCCCGTCGTCTTCTGCCAAACTTTGAGCTTCCGCTGCTCTTCGCGCTCCTTGGACCGCCGCTTGCGCTCCTCGTCGCGCATGCGGAAGACCTCCTCATCGCTCGGCAGCGTGAACGGGTTCCGCTCCGCCCGCTCCTCGTCCATGCCGGCGACGCGGCGGCCCCCGCGCGACGCGCGAGGTGTTGGTTATGCGCTGAGCGCTGAGGACAAACACATCAACAAATCTTCATCTTTCCCTGCAGCGTTTTTTTCTTGACCTTTTCATCCGATCTGCTTCTGAGGGGCAGCAGTCCCACTCGAGTTCTTTGCCGAGTTGGGCAGTGCACTTCTCGAGGCAGTGGCCCGTCGCTTCGGCGCGGAGTCGCGCGCGCCCCGTCCCCGGCGCGCCATCCCGCTTCGGCGCGGAGTCGCGCGCGCCCCGTCCCCGGCCATCCGGAAGACCGCCTCGGAGCTGCGCCCGCGTCCCGCGGACCAGCTCCCGCCCCGCCGGCAAAGACGGGGTACGACTACATGAACGCGAACCAGCCGACGGAGGCCCAGGTCATGTGGGACCGGCGGCGGAGCTCGCACCCGAAGATCCTCGTCGACGACGTCCTCGGGCTCGCCCCGCGGAAGGAAGATGGCGAGAAGATCAAATACGTGCGGGATCTGGGCCTCCCCAAGGGCATCGGCGACCAGCTCATCGCGTCGACGCGCGACTTCGCCATGCGCTATTGGATCATCGACAACTCAGGCTCCATGAAGGCGCAGTCAGGGCACCGCGTCGTCCGGGGCGCCGGCGGCCGCGAGGGCATGGTGGCTTGCAGCCGCTGGGAGGAGCTCGGCGAGGGCATCAAGTGGCACGCGGCCATGGCCGCCCACCTCCACGCGCCGACGGAGTTCCGCCTCCTCAACGCGCCCTCGGGCTTCGCGGGCAAGACGGTCGCCTGCGGCTACGGCGACGGCGACTCGGAGGTGGAACTGGTCGACCGCATGATCCAGAGCGAGCCCGACGGCGCGACGCCGCTCTGCCAGGCCATCCGCCAGGTCACGGCGGAGATCCGGTCGCGCGAGGCGTCGCTCCGCGGCGCGGGCAAGCGCGCGGTCGTCGTCATCGCGTCCGACGGCGCCGCGTCCGACGGCGACGTCCACGCGGCCCTGCGACCGCTGAAGTCGCTGCCCGCCTGGGTCGTCGTGCGGCTCTGCACGGACGACGACGCGGTCGTCCAGTTCTGGAACGGCGTCGATTCAAGGGCATCGACATGGACGTGCTCGACGACCTCGCGGGCGAGGCGGCGGAGGTCACGGAGGCGAACCCCTTCCTGACCTACGCGGCGCCCATGCACCGCCTCCGCGAGTGGGGCACGTCCGTCAAGTTGTTCGACCTGCTGGACGAGCGCAAGCTGGCCATCGCGGAGCTCCTGCAGCTCGCGCAGCTCATCTTCGGCGACGCGGCCGACGACCTGCCGCGGCCGGAGCTGGACTACGAGGCCTTCGCGCGGGCGCTGGACGACGTCCAGAAGAGCGTGGGCTTGGTGTGGGACCCGCTCCGCAACCGCAACCGGCCCTACTTCGACCTCAAGAAGCTCCACAAGTCCTACAGCGACGAGAGCTCCTGCTTCGTGATGTGACCGACGATCTCCTCCTTGGGCGGCACGGACGTCTCGACGTGGGCCTTGACGCGCCGGAGCACACGTGCGCGCAAGCTTCCCCTCCTTCTCTGCCCGCTGTGCACTGTGTGTTTCCCGATAGTAACACTTCGAACGACGCCCGTGGGCGGCGCGCGAAGTAGTTCGCGAAGTCGAAGTCGAAGTCGCCGCTTGCCCGGCAAAAGTGCAACGGCGGAAGTAGTAACACTTCGAACGACGCCCATGGGCGCGCGAAGTCGCACGCACGCCGCGGCTTCAGTGCAACACCGGAAGTATCCGCCAGCACCCCAAGGTTGGGTGATGATGTTGGCCAGCCAGCCCTCTCCCTGACTGCGCCGGCCCTCTCCCTGATCGCGCGGCAGAGGCAGCCCTCTCTCTCATCACATAACAACCAACATTCACCCGGACTAAAGCGTCCGTTCCCATGGAGGAGCGCGCGCAGCTCTTCGCCGACGAGGCGGCCACCACCAAGCTCGAGGACGCGCCGTCGCCGAACCACGAGAGATGGCTCGGGCGGCGCGTCCTGCTGCTCGCCGCGGCGGCCCTGAGCGGCCTCGCGGCGGGCGCGCGGCTGCGGCAGCGCGGCGACGGCATGGCGACGCTCGCGCGGACGCTCGTCCCGCGCGGCGGCGGCGGCGGGCTGCGGCGTAGCAGGGGCCGCGACGACGACGACATCGTGTACTGCGACTACGACGACTATCTGGTCACGGCGCCCGTCGACTGCGTGCCGAACAACAACATGGGCGCGTGCCCCTGGTGCGACATCAACTGCGTCAGCGACGACGCGCAGGACCGGCTGCCGACGTGCCACTGGTGCCTCGTCCACTGCGCGACGCCCTTCACCTACGCGCCGACGACGGGCAGCACGGCGATCCCGACGAAGCTGCCGTCGAGCGTCCCGAGCTACGCGCCCACGTACGACCCGACGACGTACCCGACGAGCCTGCCCTATCCCGCGCCGACGAAATATCCCACGGGCGGGCCCTCGGCCTACCCGACGGCCTACCCGACGCTCTCGCCGACGACCGCCGACCCGACGGGGGTCCCGACGGCCGCGCCCTCCTACGTGCCGACGAGCGTGCCGACGGCCGTGCCGTCGTCGCGGCCGACGGGCGCGCCGAGCTACGCGCCGACGACGCTCCCGTCGAACGCCCCCACGCCCGCGCCCACGGGCGCGCCGTCCTACGCGCCCTCGAGCGTCCCGACGGCGCCGCCGTCGAACGCGCCGTCGCGAGCCCCGTCGAGCCTGCCGTCGACGACGCCGAGCACGCCGCCGAGCCCGTCGCCGTCGCAGATCCCGTCGACCCTGCCGTCGATGAGCCCGACGATGATGCCGTCGACGTGCCCGTCGCCGCTGCCCACCGTGGTGCCGACGCCGGAGCCGACCTACTGCCCGACGAGCATCCCGACCGCGGCGCCGACGGCCGTCCCCCTGCCGCTGCCCACGGCGACGCCGTCCCGGGTCCCGAGCCCGCTCCCGTCGCCCGGTCCGACGCCGCTGCCGAGCATGCCGCCCACCGGCGCGCCCTCGCTCGCGCCGGAGCCGCTGCCGACCGTCGCGCCGAGCCCGACGCCGACCGCGAAGCCGAGCGCCGCGCCGTCCGCGTCGCCGTCGCTCGCGCCCACGTCCGGGCCGACGGTGCCGCCGACGAGCATGCCGTCGCCGCGCCCGACGGATGCGCCCTCGCCGAGGCCCACGGACGCGCCCTCTTTAGCGCCCGAACCGAACCCCACCGTCGCGCCGAGCCCCCGACCGACCGACGCGCCGTCCGCGGCCCCGGAGCCGCTCCCGACGCCCGCGCCGTCGCCGAGGCCCACGGACGCGCCCTCGCTGGCCCCCGAACCGAGGCCCACGGCGCCGCCGAGCCCCCGCCCGACCCTCGAGCCGACGTACGCGCCGACGACGCGCGCGCCGACGTACGAGCCCACGCTCAAGCCCTCGGGCGGCCCGAGCTTCCCGCCGACGGCCCCGCCGAGCAGCCAGGCCCCGACGAGCGGCTACGTCGTCGCGTTCTGCGAGGACCCGACCATCGACACGTGGGCCGTCCAGAGCGGCGACTTCGCGTACGACCAGTACTTCGAGGGCCGCGGCTGCTGCATGCAGAGCCGCGACGAGGACCACGTGTCCATCTACGGCTCCACGGACAAGTACGGCGACGACGAGACGTCGCTCTACACCTACGTCGCCTACAACGCGACCGCGTCCGCCAGGGCAGGAAAAGGGTGCGAAATTCCCAACTTCAAAGGCTCCTATCTCGGTCGGTTTCCACTCGTTTCGGCTGATTTTTGGACGAGCGATCATCTCTCGGAACGGTCTCGAAGCGTGGGCGCTTTTTCCGGAACGCGCGCGCGCGGAACACTCAACTTGAATCGACGTTGAATCACCCTTTTCCTGCCCAGGCGTCCGCCGCGTACCGCGTCTTCATCGTCTACATCCGCGTGCAGCGCTGGGTGGAGAAGGCGACCTACTTCGACGACCAGGAGGGCTACGCCTGCAAGGTGAACACGGAGTCCAGCGGCGACACGGCGACGCTCGTGCTCCGGGAGTACGACGGCGGCGAGGACCACGCGGGCTACACGATCGACGAGAGCGACAGCTTCACGTTCAACGTCGACACGTGGTACAAGCTCCACATCCGCGCCAAGGGCAAGAGGCTCTACTGCTTCCTCTACTACGTCGACGAGCCCAACGTCATCGTCGCGGAGGCGTCCGGCACGGACAACACGTACTCCTCGGGCTACATCGGCGTCGGCTCCTACCGCGACGACTACGGCCCCCACTACTGGGGCTACATCCGCTTCGACGGCACGCCGCTGAACGACGACGATTAAATAATGTATTTAGGACTGCTTGCCGTAGTAGTGGTGGTTCTTCCAGTAGGCGCAAGCGGTTTGGACGGCCGCGTCGTCGTTTAAAGCGAGCGTCGTGTCGAAGTGCATGACCTGGGACGTCTCGCCCGTGAAGGGCGCCCAGTGTGGCATGATGTCGCCGTTGCCGTCGTTGGGGTCGCCCGTGCGCGCGAAGGCGAAGAAGATGCGCGTCATCTTCGACGCGAGTGCGACGTCGTCGGCGTCGCCGCCGGCGTCCGCGAGCGCGGCCGTCGCCGAGAACACAAAGGGGATGTCGTCGGCGTGGTTCGCGTAGTTCGTGCCGCCGACGCCCCGGTCGAAGGAGTAGACGTAGTTGTTGGACCCCATGGCGGCGCCGCGGCGGAGCGCGCAGCGCATCGACTGGTCCGTCTCGACGGCGACGCCTCGCACGTAGCTCTTCGACGCGTCGCCGCGCGCCGCGTAGCTCGCCTGGGGGTAGTGGCTCTTCAGCAGGTCGGCGGCGTCGCCCGCCGCGAGCGCGTACTCGTTGGCGACCCAGGTCGAGAGCTGCTTCGCGTTCGCGGAGTTGCCGAGCGACGACGCGTCGAAGGTGTTGGCCTCGTCGCGCGTGCAGCCCCCGAGGAACTGGACGCCGTTCAAGCCGTTGGCCGCCAGGAGCTCGTTCGGGTAGTCCGCGAGCAGGACGCCGTCGACGGTGGCCTCGAAGCAGGCGGTGCAGGAGACGCCGTTGTACGCGCTGAGCAGGTCCTCGGGCGACTTCTGCCGCATGCACTTCGCGTCCGAGCAGCCCGCGTTCGAGAGCAGGGTCGCGTAGGCGGACTCCTGGTCGCTCAGCGCCACGGCGGCCCAGTCGGAGAAGCTGCCGGACATGCCGATGGCCCGCTGGAAGAGGCCCCTGGCCTTTGGGGCCACGACCAAATTCCCGACGGACGCGCCGCCGGCGGACTGGCCCGCGATGGCGACGTTCGCCGGGTCGCCGCCGAAGCTCGCGGCGTACTGTTTCACGAACGCGACGGCGGCGATCTGGTCCTCGAAGCCCCAGTTGCCCGTCGCGTTCGTGTCCGGGTCGCGGATCGCGTCGGAGCCCGCGAAGCCGAAGACGCCGAGGCGGTACTGGACGACGGCGATGACCGGCAGGTCCGCGACGCCGCTGGCCTGCAGCGAGAGGATCGCCGCGGACCCGTTGAGCCGCGCCTCCTCTGCACCACCGTTCGTGAAGCCGCCGCCTACCAAGTGCGACGGGGTCGGATTTCTTCACATCTTCAGGCGAAATTCACGCGAAAAAAGACTCCTGTCGCTCGACGCTGGCCGCCGCCGTGGATCCAGACGAAGACGGGCGCGGCCGACGCGCCCGAGGGCGCGTAAAAGTCGACGAAGAGGCAGTCCTCGGACGTGTTCGTGATCGTCGGGCTGAAGCCCGACGGCTGGGCGCAGGACGCGTGGAAGGACGTCGCGTCGCGCACGCCGTCCCAGGCGCTCGGCGCCGCCGGCGACCGCCAGCGCATGGCGCCCTGGGGCGGCGCGGCGAAGGGCACGCCGTGGAACTCGCGCACGACGCCCAGGGCCGCGCCCTGAAGCTTGCCGAGGCCGTCGAGGGACACGACGAGGTCGTCGGCGACCGCCGACGCGACGAGGGAGAACGCGAGTGCGAGCATCATGCTGGGGCAGCGTCTTCTGTCCATTCAGAAGGAATCACTGGTTGCGAGTTGCAGTGGATATCCCGTCGCTTGAACTTTTGCAAGCCAAGACAAACTTTGAAGAAATCCTAGCTTCTAGAGGGCTAGAGACGGTGTCTCCGCAGGAGTATTTCAGCGGCCGATGATGGAATCTCCACCTTAGAGGGCCCCGCGCTCCGCGAATATGAAGGGACGTGCAACGATCCCAGTGGCTTTGAGGTCCGCAAACATGTGGGTGAGGCACATGAAAAGACGCGACATCCGGACGATTGCGAGGCGACGCAAACGGGCAGCCCCAGGGGGTGGAATGAGGCGCGGCAGCTTCCCCCGACCCGATTTTCGGTCCCCTTCGAGTCACAGAGCGTCGGGAATCGTTCGTCATGGGGGCGACCAGATGCCCTCGCGGCAGCTCTTCGACTCGAGCCGATTTGATCGAGATCACCTCACCGCCTCCGGGAGGGGCGCGGCGCCGCGGGCGACACGGTGCTCACCGCGCAATACATGAGGCGAGCTGTGCGACCAAGCCCGGACAGCCCCCTCGGGAGGGACATTCCAGGGGGTGTTTCCTCGAAGTTGGTCGCACAGCTCGGACCTCAGCACTAATGCGAGCCCCTCGTCGGTCGCCCCCCGCCGATAACCGCCGTTCTCGTCGTCCACGGGCTGCCCCGACGCGAACTAACTTGCTCCCCATCGACCGATGGTCTTTCCCGAGCGACTCGCAGCTGGGCCCAAGGCGCGACATGGTCCACAGACCGAGCGCCGCGCCAAGTCCTGGAAACGCTGCATCGCGTGCCAAAACCTGGGCGAGGCGGCCTCGAGTCAACCAAGTGATGTCACGCCGAGCGTCAACTTGGCAGAGTATCGACTGCAACTCGCAACCAGTGAATCGCTCAAAACGGCATGTTGACATTCAACCACTGAGGCTGCCCCAAAAAAAAATTATGGCCGCCGTGCCAGGTAGCCTTCGGAGAAGATGAGGTGATGCCAAGTGGCCCTCGGAGATGATGCTCCTCCCATTCGCGCTCCTCACCTTGGCAGCAGCGGACGGGCCCTCGGAGATGATGCTCCTCCCATTCGCGCTCATCACCTTGGCAGCAGCGGACGCGACCCTCGGCGTCGCGGAGTCGCTGCGCGGCGGCGTCTGGCGCGAGGCGCTCAAGGACTACGCATCGATCGCGCGCGAGGAGCGCAAGAAGGGCGCCAAGGGCAAGTACGTCGTCGCCTTCGCCGACGACTACGGGCTGGGCAACCGCGTCAACGTCGTCGTCAGCTCCCTAGCGCTGGCCGTGGCGAGCGGGCGGGCGCTCGCCATCGTCTGGCCGCGCGTCGACTGCCGGCACTCGCACCGGGAGAACTGCGACCCGACGTCCGTCGACGACCTCTTCGTCGAAGCGAACGTGAGCTGGGGTTTGAACAAGCACATCGCGCCGCACGTCGTCAAGTGCCGCGACGACCGCGACCGCAAGCGCAAGACGCTGGACCGCTGGGCCATGGCGGACCCGAACGACCGGAAGACGGCCGACCACTACCGGAAACTCGACTTCGACGCGTCCTGGCGCGGGGACGACCGCGTGCTGTGCACCTACGGCTATTTCTACTGGGGCTGGGCGCTCGCATCTCCGCGGTCGCTGGAACCTGCACCCGACGAAGGGCGGGTCGCCGTGGGTCGAATTCGGCGCGTTGCAGGACTGGCTGCTCGCGCCGTCGCGCGCGGTCGCGAAGCGCGTCCACGCCATCCTCGGGAAGGAGACGTGCGACGTCGGCGTGCACCTGCGGCGCGCCGACGACCGCGTGCGAGGCGCGAACGTCTTCAACCCGAAGTGGGTCGCGGTCCTGGAGGCGCAGCTCGACGCGTTACCGCGCGACGCGCGCGTCTTCATCGCCGCGGACCACGAGTCGGCCCACACCAAGGTCAAGCTCGTCGACGTCGTGCGGTCCCGCGGCGGCGCGCTCCTAGGCACGGACAAGGCGACGGCGAACCGCGACAGCGACGGCGGCATCTACGACGCCCTGGCGGAGAACTACGCGCTGTCGTCGTGCGGCGAGCTCCTGCCGCGGGGCACGGGCGCGTCGACGTTCCACGACATGGCCGTGGCCCGCGCGGCCTTCGAGCAGGCCTGGAACGACTCGCGGACGGCGGCGTTCGCCGCGCGGCACAAGGACCACCCCGCGCGGCCGCTCATCAGCCCGGCGCTTTGCGCGGACCTCCAGCCGCCGGAGAACCGGAGTACTAGTGTGTTATGACGCGTCGTCGACGAAGGAGAGCAGGCCGGCGAGCGCGAGCGGCAGGTCGGGGAAGACGGCCGCGCAGCGCGACCCGTCGGCGAGGACGCCGCCCGGCCGGGCCCCGTCGGCGGCCGCGAGCGCCGCGTGGCCGAAGGACCGGTCCGCGAGCTCGGCCTCGCAGCGGACGCCGTGGGGCGACGACGTCACGAGCACCGCGGCGCGCAGGTTCGCGGCGGACGCGGCTCCCAGGTCCGTCCGCGCGTCGCCGACGAGCACCGCGTCGTCGGCGCGGATGCCGAAGCGGTCGAGCGCCGCCTCGAGGAGCGCGGGCGACGGCTTCGGCGCGGGCGACCCGTCGTCGAGGCCCGTCGCCGAGAGCACGACGTCGACGTCCACGGCTCGCCGCAGCGCGCCGTGGACGGCGTCGAGGGTCCGCGCCGACAGCAGGCCCTTGCGCCGCGCGCTCTGGTTCGTCACGACCGCGACCGCGTGGCCCCGGGCCTTGACCGCGGCGACGGCGTCCGCGACGCCCGGCAGCAGCTCGAAGTCGGCGACGTCGACGACGCCGGGCGACCCGACGTCGCGGTTGAGCACGCCGTCGCGGTCGAGGAGGAACGCCCACCGCTTCTTGCGCGCCGCGAAGCCGCCGTAGTCGTCGTCGCTCGTCGGCGCGGTCCACCCGTCGAACGCGCTTTCGAACGCTTGCCTCCGGTCCGCTCGATCCTCCTCGGCCCAGCCGCGCTGCGTGGCGTCCATGGAGGCCCAAGTCCGCGTCTCGTCGACCGTCAAAAAACACCCGATGCAAATCTGGCCATCACCAAAAGTTGGGCTGTAGCGGCAGATGCGATTGCACGGGCGCTCCAATGCGCCGCCGCTCGAGAGGAGCAGCGCCGCGAGAATGACGGCGGCGCGATTCATGCGTCGCAGCGCTACGACCAGTCTGCGCAACAGCAAGGCGCTAGCGTCGCGCTATGGCTCCTAACCCACCGACACGGCTCATCGTCCACGGCAACAAACGTCAACAAGGCGTCCTCGAGGATGTTGAATATGGCACTTTAGACGGTAATTGGTAATTACTAGGTAAATACAAGAACGATGGCTGGCTTCCGACACGTCCTCCTCGCCACGCTCGCTTCCCATGTCGCCGGCGAGTACGAGCTTGGCGTCGGCGGTTTGGTCTATCGCCCCCTGAACGAGGCCGGACAAGTTCCCGCCCTGGAACCCGGCGCCCATCACACTCGCGAAGCTTAACATCGACGAGGCGTCGGTCTCCGTCGCGGGCTGCTCCCACGCCGGGGACTTTGCGCACCAGTTCCACGTCGCCTTCAGCCAGACCGTGAAGAACGCCTGCGTCTTCAGCGGGCAGCCCTTCCACTGCGCCGTCCAGGCCTTCCAGGGCGAGGACCAGGTCGTCGCCACGCCCGAGTCGTCCGTGCCGTACTGCGAGGGCTGCGCGGCGGGCATGACGCTGGCCTATGACCACTGCAAGAACCACCCGCAGCACGTCGACGTCGGTCGCCTGCCGGACTACCCGAAGCGCGCGTGCGGCCAGAACCCCATCAACCCGCACCCGCCGCCGGGCTGCATCGACCTGACCGGGAACTTGTCGGAGAGCCGCGTCTTCCTCTTCCACCCGTCCATGGACCAGTGCTACCTGGACGGCGCGGTCGCGAACACGGCGGCGCTCTATTCGATTCTCGTCGCGGAGCCCCAGAGGACCGTGAAATTCGTCGACGTCCAGCCGTTCCCGCACTGCCTGCCGCAGAACTCGACGCCCTACTGGGGCAACTCGTCGGAGCCGTCGGGCTACGACGGGCCCGGCGAATGCCTGAAGCACATCTACGGCCACGAGACGCCGCTGGCGCCCGTGAAGAATTGGACGACGGCGCCGGGCGCTTTACAAAACAACACGTACGTCTTCGACCAGCTCGAGTTCATCGAGCGGGACCCGGACCTCAACGGCACGGGAGTGGGGCCCGCGGGCGCCATCTATATCCCCACGGCCTGCCAGGCCGGCGCGGCCGCGTGCAAGCTGCTCCTGCTCACGAACGGCTGCGGCGGCTCCGTCGCGCCGAATCTGTCCAGCTCGGACTGGGACTTCGCGCGGTGGGGCGAGTCCAACGACATCATCCTGCTCAAGGCCTGCGTCGGCGGCCACGTCGACGTCGACCGCTTCCCGAACAGCTACGAGCTCCAGCGCGGACTTTTAGACGTGTACGGGCAGACGGGCCTCGACTACTCGAAGCAGTTCGCGCCCCACATGCGCTTCGTCTACGCCGTGCTCCAGCGCGTGCTCCGGTGTCAAGTGAGTTTTACCTAACGACCGACGCGGCCCCGTCGCGCGCGTAGCGGTAGCCGAGCCGCGCGCCAAAACGGCGGAGGGCGTCGTACGCGGGCGACGCCACGAGCAAGCTCCGGAGGTGGCTCGTGTTGGCGCTGCCGCTGAGGTGGCTGGAACGCCGCTTCGCCTTCGCCGTCCAGCGCGCCGTGTCGTGGCCCGCCAGTTCCCGCCGCACGGGCCGCGCGCACTCCTTTCGATCGAACCCGACCTGCGTCAGAAACGCCGCCGTGAACGCGCCAAAGCCATTCGGGCCCGCCAGGTCCTCGAGGCGGAACGTCGCGCCGGGCCGCTTCTCGTGGAAGCCGACCATGGCCGGCAGCGCGCGCCGCAGCGTCTCGTCCGCAGCCATCTGGAGCCCGGCGCGGACCGAGGCCTTCTTCAGGCGCGGCGCGAGCGGCGGCCGGCCGAAGGTCGGCTCCTTGCCGCCCTTGTGGTACAGATAGGTCGACACGACGAGGGCCAGGGGCTCGCGGACCATGTGCAGGACCCGGACGCGGCCGCGCGCCGCGGCGAACGCGGCGTCGACGCAGGAGTCGTTGCACCGGCTCGCCGGCAGGTACGTGTAGGCCGTCTCGCAGCCCGAGGCCGACGCGGCGAAGGCGCCGACGTCGCGGAACGGCAGCTTCGCCGTCTTGATGCCGCAGGCCCGCTCGAGCGAGACCATCATCTTCTGCGCGAGCACGGTCCCGGACTTGTGGTGCCGCACGGCGAGCGCCGGCCCGCCGTTGCACCCGCAGCGCGGCGCGCACGGAGCGATGGCGCTCGCGATTGCAATGGTCGACAGGAGCGCACATCCCAATAGAGCCATGCTGCCCACTGCAAGAATAGAGTTTCAAGAAAGATTCAAGAACCTTCGAGGCCGGTGGGCAGCCCATTCGAAAACATGGAGGCGAAGGGCGAGGCCAAGTCCGAGGCCGGCGGCAAGGCCGAGGGCGGCGGTCCGCCGAACACGGTCGTCATCAACCTGCTGAACTTCGCCATGCGCGTCGTCCACGAGGAGATGGCCGGCTTCTTCGACGACCACTGCTCGCTCTGGGACTACGGCGAGGAGGAGCTCAAGGCCATCATGGCCGGCGGCGGCGAGACGCTGGAGCAGCACGCCATCTTCACCAAGTACCTCGAGCTCATCAACGGCCACCTCGACGGCTTCGCGCGGTCCGCGGGCTACACGTCCGCCAAGGACGTCTTCGAGGCCGTCGAGGCGGCCGTCGAGCACGACAAGAAGCAGCGGGAGAAGATGATGGCGGAGATGAACACCATGTTCGCCCAGATGCGCCTCAAGGTCAAGGAGAAGGAGGCCAAGGCCGAGGAGAAGGAGGGCGCCAAGGGCGGCGACGACGGCGACGACGGCGGCGCCAAGGCCGAGGCCAAGGGCGAGGCCAAGGCGACGGCCCGGGGCAAGGCCGGCGGCCCGGGCCTCACGCTCTTCTCCCAGCCCATCGGCCTCGAGTACCTCCTCGATAGCGTGCTGAACCTCGCGGAGTACGAGACGCTGCGCATGATGATGATCATGAAGGCGCGGGAGCGGCGCATGTACCGCCAGCTCGCGGAGCGGGGCGAGCGGCGCCGGCGCCTCGCGGCGGCGCGGCGCGAGGACCTCGTGGCGGGCTGCCCACCGCGCGTCGTCGTGCAGCAGTACGAGGCGCTGAAGGCGCGCCTCGCGGAGATGACGCCGCACCGGAAGGACCTGCACGAGGAGCTCGACGCGGGCATGGCGTCGGCGAAGCTCGAGGACGACGCGGACCGCGGCGGCGCCGCCGACGGGACCTGCTACGACTACCCCGTCGACTTCCTCGTCAAGGTGTCGTCGCCGACGGCCGCGGAGGCGTTCAAGGCGACCGCGGAGCGCCTCCGCGAGGACCGCGGCACGCACGTCGCCTACCTCGCGGCCATCCACGACCACATCGACGCCATCCACGACAACATCGAGCAGTGCATGCTCGCCGCGCGCCGCGACCCCGTCTCCGGGGGCGCCGCGCCCGCCGCGGACGCCAAGGCGACGCGCGCGGACGCCAAGGGGTGAGGGCCGCGCGTCGCCCCGCGCCCGCGCGCGCTTACGCGTCCGCGACCCTCGCGAGGAGCGGGCCGAGGCCGACGGGGGCGCCGTCCGTGAGGACGAAGAGCTTCGCCGGCGGCGGCCGGCCGGCGAGCTTCGCCTCCGCGAGCGCGACGCCGACGCGGTCCGTGAGGGAGCTGAGCGCGATCCAGGGCCAGCACGCGTCGTAGCCGCGCCGCGCGACGACGAGGTCGCCCGCGCGCAGGCACCCGACGATGGTCCCGCCGAGGCCCGGCCGGTCGCGGATCGCGACGCGCGGCTCGTGGACGACGCGGTACAGCGCGCGGCCCTTGCGCCGCGCGCGGTCCGCGACGCCCGCGCGCTGGTCCGCCCAGAGCCGGGCCCACATGGACGCCGTCGAGCCCGTCGCGGCCGTCTCGAGGACGCCGCGCGCGCCGGCGTAGTCCACGGACGCGAGGCCCCGCGACTCGTCGCCGCGGCGGCGCCACCACTCCGCGTGGACGCGCGCCTCGCGGTTCCGGCGCGCGCCGCCGCCGCCGTCGTCGTCGGGCCTCGCGTGGCCGCTGTTGTAGAGCTTAAAGGCCGCGCCGCCGACCTTCAACGCGAAGAAGAGGAGCGGCGCGACCTCGTCGCGGGGGATGGAGCACGCGTCGCACTGCACGAGCACGTCCGCGGCGAGCCGGCCGTCGCGCCGCACCGCCGCGCGGTACGAAGCGATGGACCCGAAGTAGAGCACCTCGACGTCGTAGAAGTAGGCCGCGAACGCGCCCAGCGCCTCCGGCGGGTCCTCGCGGTAGATCTCGTCGACGAGCACGACCGTCGACACGGCGAGGCGCTTCCGGAGCCGCCGCACGACGTCGAAGTCGAAGTAGAGCAGGCCGCAGCCCACGGACGCGTACACCAACCGCCGCGCGGCGACGAAGGACCGGAAGCCGCCGCGGCCCGGCGCCGGCCGCTGCGGCGCGGCGTTGTCCAGGATTTTTAACGCGAAGCTGCCGCGCACGGTCGGGTTGCGCAGCCGGTTGCAGCCGCACTGCGGGTCGCCGCATTCCGCGAGGCACGCGAGCGGATTCGGAGCGCCGCACCGGAGCCGCTCCGGCGGCCGCAGGGCGCCGCGCCGCTCGTCGAGGTCCCAGCCCGCGTCGAGCGCCTCGTCGAGCAGTCGCCGCTGCGCCGTGTGCGGGCCGAGGTCCAGCGAGGCGACGGCCGTGCGCGGCTCGGGGCTGGCGGGGGCGTCCTTCTCTTTGAAGAGCGCCGCGTGCACCGTCTCCTCGCCCAGGTCCACGAGCGCGTCGTCCTCGGGGTCCGGCGAGCCGACGAGGCCCTCGGCGAGCGCCGACATGGCGAGCGAGTAGCAGCCCCCTTAGCCCTCGGACTCCATGCTCTTTGTCAACGAGGCCGACGGTGAAGCCTCGCTGCCGCGGCGCCGCTGCGCTTGAGCTTAGCGAGCTGCTTGTGGCTGTGCTGCTCGCGCGCCGCGAGGAGCGAGCGGCCGCCCAGCAAGGGCGCGCGCGACACCGCGAGGAGCGAGCATCCGCCCATCGAAACCCTCGCGCGCCGCTGAACAAAGCACGCCGCGCGCAGCGAACCCGTCGCGGCCCGCGTCCCGATACCCGCGAAGGAGAGAAGCACATTAAGCCGGCGGCCGTGAGGACCTTCGGGTCGATTCGCGTTCGTGACTATGCCTTGAGTCAGTGCTATATGAACTCGCGTGGGTTCCCGGCGCGCCGCCCGTGCGCCGAAAGGCGTCCGGCGGCGCGCCGATTCGTCCGCTCCGCCGATTCGCTCGACGCCGCGGCCGAGGGCCCGCGCGGACATCCCTCCTCTCAGGCGTTCCGAGCGGCGCGGCCGCTTCCGTTTCAGCGCAAGGAGGGGCCCTCGCCCCGCGCGCGCGCGCGCCGCGGCCGTAAAACACGCCGGGCGGCCGTCGCAAAAATATTAATTAAGTCCTCACATGTGCACGGCGAGCACCTGGAGCTCCGCGTCCGCGTCGTCGACGCGCGGCGCCTCGGCGTCCTCGTCGGCGTCGCCGCGCTTCGCCTCGACGTCGTCGCGCGTCGGCGCGGGCGACGTCGTCGAGCCCGCGCCGGGCCCGTCGAAGGCGGGGCCGAAGCCGTCCTCCGGCGGCGCGTCCTCCGGCGCGGCGTTGAAGGCGAACTTGGAGTTGAGCCGCGAGAGCGACCTGCGCACGGAGTCGAAGCCGTCCGGGCTCATCGACTCGGTCGCGGTGCCGACGAAGCTCGCGGAGCGCGCGAGGCCCGAGGCGCCCGCGGTGCCGACGTAGCTCGCGGAGCGCGTGATGCCCGAGACGCCCAGGTCCCCCAGCTTCGAGATGTTCTTCTCGAGCTCGAGGTCCTCGGCGGCCTTGGCCACGCGCGCCTCGACCCGGCGCAGGACCGTGATCGCGACGACGAACGCGACGATCATGAAGAGGATGAACCCCGATACGACGACGGCGCTGACGTTCGTGCCCTTGCGCCGGCCGCCGCCCGACGAGCCGCCGACGATGCCCGTGCCCAGGATGAACTGGGCGAGCACGGGCAGGAAGTCGCAGGCCTCGCAGAACATCGTGTCCTGGAGGAGCTCCGGGATGAGGAGGAACGTCGCGATGAGGAGCGTGACGGCGACCTGGCGCCAGCGGACGATCCAGTGGAGCGTCACGTGGGGGTCGTGGGCCTCGACGTCCTCGAGCACCGTCGCGCGGTCGTAGACGCGCTCCGAGAGGTACGTCGACTCGCCGAGCTCGGGCATCGCGCGGAGCAGGTACGCGAGGGGGCTGTCCGGGAAGTCGGAGTCCGCGCGGTCCGGCGCGTAGGGGAACCGCTTCCGGTGGATGAAGTGGGACAGGCGGTGGCCCACGACCCAGGGCAGGATGACGAAGATGAAGGCCACGCGGAGCGTCTCGACGATCGCGAACTCGAAGAAGAGCGCGAAGAGGCTGTCCTCGATCCACGTCCGCGTGTTCCGCGAGCCCCAGGCCGTCGCGCGCTGCAGCAGGTAGGCGGCGCAGAGCAGCAGGCCCAGGACGACGACGGCCCAGGTCGCGTAGTACTCGCGCGGCGTCGGCGGCTCCGGGCGCCGCGGCTTGTGCTCGTCGTACGCGAAATACGACCGCACGTAGATGCGCCACTCCGTGTGCGTGAACCACTCCGTGCGCGCGAAGATGAGCGTCTTCGCCATGCGCCGCTCCAGCACGTGGGCGCCGCAGACGGACTCGAGGGACTCCTTCCAGAGCCGCGCGACGACGCGCTGCCGCGCCATGACCGCGCGGACGTTCTTCGTGTACCTCGCGGGGTCCCTGTGGAAGCCCCACTTGTGCCGCAGGCGCGTGGCGAAGCCCCGGAGGGCGCCCACGGCGTGGAAGAGGCCCCGCGCCTCGGCATCGGACGCCCACGCGTCGAGCTCCGCGAGCCGCGCGAGGACGCCCGCCTCGACGCGCGGCCGCTCGCGCTCGACGGCGGCCGCGTCCATCTCCGTGACGTTCACCTCCTCCTGCGTCGCGAAGATCCAGGCCGCGGCCTGCTCCTCGACGTCGTCGATGTCCGAGAGCAGCGCGGACAGGCGGCTCGCGCGCCTCGACGGCGCCGCGGACGGCGGCGAGCGCGAGTCGGGCGCCGCGGCGCCCGGCGCG